GCTGTCCAGCCGCTCCTCCTGCCCCGGGACCTGCAGACCCTCAGCCCAGGGTCCTGAGGCCACGGCTGGGGCTGTAGGAAGTGGACCCTGGTTTGGGCACCGGGTGGGTGAGATGTGGGAGGGCCTCCCAGGCACAGGGACCGGGATGTGCAAAGGCTCAGAGGGGAGACTGAGCTGGTTCAGAGACTCTTTCTTCCCACGGGGACTGGGAACACTGGGAGGGGAGTCAGGTCTAGAGCAGCTTTGTGACCAGTTGGTTCTGCCGGTGATGGGAGCAATGGGAGCCTGGAGCAGTGCAGGCAGGTGATCTGACCCAGGTCACATGAGACTCCATGTGGCTGCAGCTTAGACAGAATGGAGGGGGAGAGGCAGGTGGTAGAAGGAACAGGGAGGAGGCTGCTGCAATAGTCTGAGTAGTTGTGCTCTTGGGTCCTCGTTTCCAAGATGACCAAGAAAAGAAGGAATAACGGTCGTGCCAAAAAAGGCCGAGGCCATGTGCAGCCTATTCGTTGCACCAACTGCGCCCGGTGCGTGCCCAAGGACAAGGCCATTAAGAAGTTTGTCATTCGAAACATAGTGGAGGCCGCGGCCGTCAGGGACATCTCCGAAGCCAGTGTCTTCGACGCCTATGTGCTTCCCAAGCTGTATGTGAAGCTGCACTACTGTGTGAGCTGCGCCATTCACAGCAAGGTAGTCCGGAATCGGTCTCGAGAAGCCCGGAAGGACCGAACACCCCCGCCCCGATTCAGGCCTGCGGGTGCTGCCCCACGACCTCCACCAAAGCCCATGTAAGGAGCTAAGTCTTTAAAGAGCGAAGAAAAGTTCTCTGGGGAAAATAAATGGAAGCTGTATTTCAAAAAAAAAAAAAAATAGTCTGAGTAGTTGTGATGGTGTCTGGGCCAGGATAGTGGCCATGGAGGTGAGAGAAGCAGTTTGATAATAAGTTAGGGTTTTATTTATTTATTTATTTATTAAACATTTTATTGATTTTGTACAGAGAGGAAGGGAGAGAGATAGAGAGCTAGAAACATCAATGAGAGAAAGTCATCGATCAGCTGCCTCTTGCACACCCCGCACTGGGGATGTGCCCGCAACCAAGGTACATGCCCTTGACCGGAATCGAACCTGGGACCCTTCAGTCCGCAGGCCGACGCTCTATCCACTGAGCCAAACCTGGTTTCGGCATAAGTTAGGGTTTTAGTGAAGATGCTAGGATTTTTATTTATTTATTTATTTATTAAAGATTTATTTATTTATTTATTTATTTATTTATTTATTTATTTTTAGGGAGAGAGAATGGGAGATAGAGACAGACACACAGGGCACATATAAGAATCAATCAGTGAATGGATAAATACGTAGAACAACAAAGGGGATTGAACCCACAACCTTGGTGTATGGGGCCCGACGCTCAGCCCAACCTTGGAAACCGGCCAGGCTGCCTTCTGCATTTTCTAATTTTACAGTTGACATAGTGAGAGGTAGTAGCCAGGGATGACATGAAGGACTGGAGGAAATGAAACACACTGCAGTAAGAGCACTGTTCATGGAGGATAGCGGGAGTTTCATGTTTGGCCTGATGAGGGTGTGAGATGTTTGAGAGAGCAGTTCATCGGTTTCTGGCATTCTGAGGAGGAGTTCAGGATGGAGAAGTCTCCAAAAGGGAGTGGAGAGTATATGGACCAGGGAGGAGCTGCACCTCACTTTATTTATTCATTTATTTTATTATTTTTAAAATATATATATATATTGATATATTTTATTGATTTTTTTTACAGAGAGGAAGGGTGAGGGATAGTGAGTTAAAAACATTCAATGTGAGAAGAAACATCGATCAGCTGCCTCCTGCACACCCCCATCTGGGGATGTGCCCGCAGCCAAGGTACATGCCTTTGACCGGAATCGAACCTGGGACCCCTCAGCCCGCGGGCCGACGCTCTATCCACCGAGCCACACCGGTTTTGGCTGCAGCTCACTTTAATATGGGAATCCCTGGTCAGGATGATAATGGTAATAGCCCAGGAGGAGGGGCGTGGGCCTGAGGACTGGGTTTCCTGCTAGGATCCCTGATTGTGGGAAGTGGATGTCACAACTTGCTGTGTAACAAGTCAAGAGGCAGAGGAGGAGAGGAGTGTGGTGCAGGACAGGAGGAGGCTGGGCGGGGGGGTGCAGGCAGGAGAGGTGTGGTTGGAAGAGTGATGTGCCCGCGAGGAGGGAGTGTGAATTCATGGCCACGGGGCCCTGGCGCTGACATCAGAGTGAATGGAGGGGGACCCCATGCCTGTTGGCATCTGATGGAAACGCAGTGTAGCTCTGCCGGGAATCGCCTGGAAGAAGGGGATGCTGTGTCCTACTGGCCATGCCCAGAGCTTCCAAGTCATTCACGTCTCTTCCTGCCTTTTGTTGAGGCTGATTCAGCGATCAGTAGGGCCTCGATGTGATAGCAGACCTCTGGCGTGGGGAAGGGAGAGGGTGAGCAAGGGGTAGAGTAGGGAGGCGGTAAAATTAAAATCCGGGGAAAGGAGCGAATCACGGGGGAAATTGTCACGTTGGACTTGGCTTTAAAGCTGTGCTTCTGGGAACGTAGCCGTGTGCGAGCGATGCGATCCACAGAACTATGTGCAGAGGCTCCTGGGAAGGAAAGCGATTTGGGTCGTGAGGGTGAAGGGTGATGCCATGGTTGGAGGGACACTGGGAGGACTCACAGGTATTGTCTGACCAGTTGAGTGTCTCGTCACTCACACCCTCCGTATGGCCAGCTTCTCTCTCTGCTGTATGTTTGTGACACCCCCTGTGTTAACAAGGGGCAGTGGGGCCTACATACCATGTGCAGAGCTCTGCTATCATCTATCTGCCCATACGCATATTACTATGGGAAGACACAGTATAAATGGGATTATAAGAAGTGAGTGACGCCAATGATATCAAGGCCTGGAATCTTCTCTGTGGTGGGAGGAGGAAGCAGATGGATGGGGAGGCTGGGTGGTTGAGGAATGTAAAACCCCAGGAGAGAAGTTGATCATGAACTGTCGCCATTGTGACAGGGTATAAAGTTTGAGGACGTGGCCATCGCCTTCTCCCAGGAGGAGTGGGGGCTCCTCGGTGAGGCTCAGAGACGTCTGTTCCACGGCATGATGCTGGAGAACTTTGCACTTGTAACATCTGCTGGTAAGACCTTCATATCACTCCTCCTTTCCTGTTTTCTTCTGAACTAGCCTAGTCCCTCAGCCAGACCATGGGCTCTGCTAATTTCCACCCTTTCTTGTCCTACGTGCTGTGGCTGCTGGTGCTGAGCTGTGTGGTGTGAGTGCCCTCTGCCGGGGTCACTCTGAACACCCCTTACATCTGTTGTCTCAGAAAGTCCAGAGAATGGGTCTCAGCTGCAGGCAGTCCAGTACATGCCATGCTTTCACCCTCTGCCCGGAAAGGTGACTTATGCCCAGATTCGTGGCTTCCAGTTCTGGCCCCTTCCGTTAGCTAACGATCCTTTGTCACTTCCTGTGCCAGGTCGTGGTCATTCTTTATAGGAACCATGGACTGTGCTTGTAAGATCTACCTCAGTTGTCCGTAATATTGTCTTCCCTGAACACTGTTGTATGCCGAGTTGGCTCTGGGCCAGCAGTGGCTGCTCGCCTCTGTTGTCTGTCAGTAAGACGTGGATCATGCAGGTTCTGAATAGCTGTTCCATTGAAGGTGCAGGGAGAACCCTGTTTCTGTTAAGGGTGTACATAGGAAGATGAACTCAGAAGAGGGCTGGCCCCGGGCGTGACACCTGGGGAAGAGCATGACGTAAGGCCAGGATTCTGCCTCGTGTCTAATCATGTTGTGGTGCAAGTTCCCCTGCCCGCAGCACATTCCTCCTTTCTTTCCCATATTGGGTCCTTCGCTAACCTGTCATTTCACCAGTGGCTTCTCGGCTCCTGGCCACCTTCCCCTGTGTGGTCTCCCGGCATCAGCTGCACTCTGCACTGGTTCCTCTGGCGTGCATGTTCCAGCATTGACCTGTGCAGATGTTATGGGGTGTGCCTATATCCTTAACCTAGTGAGTAGACACCAGCTCCTCATTTATTGATTTTTACTAGGGGGAAAAACATAACCAGCCTTCTCTACAACTTGCCCATTCCACCCGTAGACAAGCCAGCCCTTCTGAATGCTTTTAGCAGAAGAATTAGTTGGAGATGCTGTTTCTATTCCGTGTGGTGCCATGCCATCTCTGTGTCCTTTTTCTGGGGAGGTCTCCCCTATTTTGTGATCTTCAGAGGCCCAGTACTGCACAGAAGCACAGTATTCAACCTGTCCCCGGGCTCTTATTTTCAGATGATCCCATGAAACCAACATATAGAGCCTTTGTAATGGGTCCTGCTCCTATCAATGCCAACACCGTTTCCTCAACATTTCTCTGCTTTCAGGTTGTTGGCATAAAACTGAAGATGAGGAGACCTCTTCCGAGCAGAGTGTATCTATAGCAGCAGAACCACAGGTCAAGGCTTCTGAGACAGCTCTGCCAACCAAGAAGACCCATCTTTGTGACCGATGTCTCTCAGTCTTAAAAGCTATTCTGCACCTGACTGAGTCACAAGCAGCAGACCTTGAGCAGAAAGCCGCCTTCAGTGACGCATGTGCGAGGGACTTCTGTTTCAGTGCAAACCCTCACCAGCAGCAGAGGGAAGCCAGTGGAGAGAAGCCCTGGAAAGGAGCTGTGGACAGGGCCTCGTTTGTGACACAGGAGCCATTCATGTATACGGAGGTTGAGAAGGATTTCCCAGCCACCTCAGGCCTTCTCCAGCACCAGGCCACACTCAGCACTGAGGAGCCCCACAGTGAGAGTAGGCAGTCCGATCTTAGTGGAAAACATCATCATGAGCGGGGTGAGTGTAAAACGGCCGCCTTCCACAGCCAGAACCTTGTTCAGCAGCAGAGCGTCTACCCTGGAAAAGGGCTTTCGGAGGGTCACAAATGTGGGAAGGCCTTTCGGCAAAAGTTTAACCTCCTTCGTCATGGGAGACTTCACGCTGGACACAGGCCTTATGAGTGTGGTGACGGTTCAAAATCCTTTAGCCAAAGCTCTAGCTTCATGCAACACAAGAGAATTCACACTGGAGAAAAGCCATACGAGTGCAGTGTCTGCGGCAAATGCTTTAGTTACAAAGCTGTCTTCATTCGACATCAGAGAATTCACGGTGGAGAAACACCAGATGACTGTCGTGACTATGGGAAGTCCTTCAGCGGAAACCCTGCCCCCAGTCAGCATCAAAGAATTCACGCTGGAGAAAAGCCATTTGAGTGTGGAGATTGTGGGATGTCCTTCAGCCATAGGTCTAAGCTCATTGAACACCACAAAGGTCACACTGGTGAAAAGCCTTATGAGTGTCGTGTATGTGGGAAGTTATTTAGACGCAAAGATTACCTCCTTAACCATGAGAGAGTCCACACGGGAGAAAAGCCGTTTGAATGTGGTGATTGTGGGAGATGCTTTAGCTATCAAAAGGGACTCGTTCAACACCAGAGAGTTCACACTGGGGAAAAGCCATATGAGTGTAGTTACTGTGGAAAGACCTTCAGCCAGAGCTCAACACTCGTTGAGCACCAGCGAGGTCACACTGGGGAAAAGCCTTATGAGTGTCGTGTTTGTGGGAAGTCCTTCAGCAGAAGGTCTGCTCTCAGCCGACATCAGATAATTCACACCGGAGAAAAGCTGTATGAATGTAACGATTGTGGGAAATGCTTTACCTATAACAGTGGACTCCTTCAACATCAGAAAATTCATACTGGAGAAAAGCCATATAAGTGTAGTGATTGTGGGATGTCTTTCAGCCGTAGGTCTAAGCTCATTTCACACCACAGGGTTCACACTGGGGAAAGGCCTTATGAGTGTAGTGAATGTGGGAAGTGTTTTACACGCAAAGCTAACCTCCGTATTCACCAGAGAGTTCACACTGGAGAAAAGCCTTATAAGTGCAGCGAATGTGGGAAAACCTTTGGACAAAGCTGTAACCTCTTCGAACATATGAAAGTTCACACTGGAGAAAAGCCATATGTGTGTACTGACTGTGGGAAGTCCTTCAGCCGTAGTTCTACCCTCAGTGAGCACCGGCGATGTCACACGGGAGAAAAGCCTTTTGAGTGCAGTGTTTGTGGGAAAGTCTTTAGACTACGCAGCAGTCTTAGTTACCACCGTCACGTTCATTCTGGAAAAAAAGCCTTATGAGAGCCCTGACCGGTTTGGCTCAGTGGATAGAGTGTCAGCCTTCGGACTGTGGGGTCCCAGGTTCAATTCCAGTCGAGGGCATGTACCTTGGTCGCAGGCATATCACCAGTGGGGGATGTGCAGGAGGCAGCTGATCGATGTTTCTAACTCTTTATCCTTCTCTGTAAGAAAATCAATAATATATATATATATATTTTTTTTTTTTAAAAAGCCTTATGAGCCGAAACCAGTTTGGCTCAGTGGATAGAATGTCGGCCTGTGGACTGAAGGGTCCTGGGTTCGATTCCTGTCGGGGGCATGTGCCTTGGTTGCAGGCATATCCACATTGGAGGGTGTGCAAGAGGCAGCTGATTGATGACTCTCTCTCATCAATATTTCTAACTTTCCCTCTCTGTAAAAAATCAATAAAAATATATTTAAAAAAAAAACAAAAAAAACCTTATGAGTGGTGAATGTGGGAATTCCTATAGCAATACTTCTGGCATCATTCATCACCAGAGAGTTCACACTGGAGAGAAATCATGAATGTAGTGATTGTGGAAAATGCTTCGATTATAAACAGACTCATTCAATATCAAAGGACTCTGAAGAAAAGTCATGTGAGTATAGTTTTTTTTTTTAATATATTTTATTGATTTTTTTGCAGAGAGGAAGGGAGAGAGAGAGAGAGCTAGAAACGTCGATGAGAGAGAAACGCAACCAATGTACATGCCCTTGACTGGAATCGAACCCAGGACCTTTCAGTCCGCACACCGACACTCTACCACTGAGCCAAACCGGCTTTGGCATGAGTATAGTTCTTGTCAAAAGTCCTTCACAAAAAGCTCTTGGTTCTTTCAACATCGAAGGATCGCACAGGTGAAAGGCCTTATGAGTGTAGTGTTTGTGGGAAGTCCTTTATCACAAACTGTCTTCGTTGGACACCAGCAATGTTAAACTGGACAAAAGCCATGTGGGTGTAGTGAATTTTTAAATATATAATTTTATTGATTTTAGGGAGGAACAGAGAGGGAGACAGAAACATCAATGATGAGAGAGAACCATGGAGTGGCTGCTTTCTGCACCCTCCCTGCTGGGGATCCAGCCAGCAGCCCAGACACACACCCATGATCAGAATCGCACCTGGGACCTTTCAGTCTGCAGGTCGATTCCATCCACTGAGCCACACCTGCCAGGGCAATTGTGGAAAGTTATTTACAGAGAGCTCTATCTTTTTCCCCACACCACACAGTTCACTCCAGAGAAATGTGTTCAAAATAACAGTGATTGTGGGAAATACTTTTATTTGTTCGTTTTTGTTTTTTTTAATAAACCTTTATTGTTCAGATTATTACAGTTGTTCCTCTTCCCCCCCTCCCCCCATTGCTCCCCTCCACCTGGTTCCTACTCCACTCTCTGCCCTTACCCCCTCATCCATAGGTGTACGATTTTTGTCCAGTCTCTTCTTTCCCCCTGAGAATTTTCAGTCCACTTTCTTTCTATGCCCCTGGTTCTGTTATATTCAGTTTATTGTGACCTGTTTCTTTGTCTCTGCATTTTGGCTGCTTCCCGTATTGATAGAGTGGCTTGGTGTGCTAGATGTCCTATAGCAGTGTTTCCCAACCTTCTCTCATGATGAGAATCACCTGGTGGAGTTGTTAAAACACAGATTCCCGGATCCCAACTAAGAAGTGCTAAACTAGAATTTTTGGGAACATATAGGTAAAATTGTATACTTAACTAGTGCTCTAAGACAGATTTTATATACAGAGCACTAAGTTAGGTATGCAATTTTACCTATATGTTCCCAAAAATTCTAGTTTAGCACTTCTTAGTTGGGATGCGGGAATCTGTGTTTTAACAACTCCACCAGGTGATTCTCATCATGAGAGAAGGTTGGGAAACACTGTCCTATAGGACCCAGTGGCTCGGCCTCCACAGTTAGCTGAGGTGGACATTCTTGGTGTACCCCTTTGTGGGCTGTGTGCACTGCCTTGATGGTTGTTGGTATCACTGGGAGGAATTGACCTCCAGGCCAATTGTCTGTGAGGATCAATTGTGTCTATGTTGGGGGAACTTCTGTGCTGGAGACACCCTTATGGGGCAAGACTTGCTTCAGTGGGGCTTTGGTGCTCACTGAGTGTGTCCCTTATGGATCTGAGGAGTTGTAATCTGGATGGTCCCACTCTGACCACTGGGTACACTGGCTCTTGGATCTCCAAGGAGGTACAAATTTAGCCTCTGCCTGAGGCCGCCCAGCAGAGCCATGGAGAGATCTGCGGATTCCACTTCTTTGGGGTTTGGAGGTGCCCAGATGAGGCCCAGCTGTGAAGCAATGCAAGCTGCTGTGGGGCCTCAGGCCTTCTTTTGGATGTTCTGGGGCACTGATCCAGCTGCAGTTTGTTAGGTAATTTTAGATTACAAAGAGCCAGGCCATTTATGTGCAAAAGCCTATGCACACAGTTGGGGTGATCAAGCCTACAGGGAAAGGCAGTGAGGGGTGACCAGGCTGGCAGAGGAGGGAAGTTGTTGGTGACCAGGCCTGATGGAAGGGCAGTTGGGGGAAGCCCAGGCCTGCAGGGGAGGGCAGTTGGGAGTGACCAACCCTACAGGGGAGGACAGTTGGGGGCAATCAGGCTGACAAGGGAGCAGTTAGGCATTAATCAGGCTGGAAGGGGAGTGGTTAAGGGGTGATCACGCTGGTAGGCAGAAGCAGTTAGGGGCAATCAGGAAGGCAGGCAAGTGAGCAGTTAAGAGCCAGCAGTCCTGGATTGTGAGAGTGATGTCCCAGATTTGAGAGGGTGCAGGCTGGGCTGAGGGACACACACCCCCATGCACGAATTTCAGCACTGGGCAGAGAGAGAGAGAAAAAAAAAAAAAAAAAAAAAATATATATATATATATATATACACACACACACACACACACACACACACACACATATACACATATACACACACATACATGCCTGAGTAACCATTACAACCAGTTGGCCGTCTGGTCAACCTAAAGACCAGTCACTATGACATGCACTGACCACCAGGGGGCAGACATTCAACGCAGGAGCAGCCTCCTGGTGGTCAGTGTGCCCCCACAGCCAACCTCTTGTGGTCCCTCCCCCTGGCAGACCACCCTGATTGGCCACTTTGGAACTGAGCTAGATGGCTCTGATCAGCCCTGATTGCTGGCCAGGCCTAGGGACCAAATTTGTGCACTGGGCCTCGGAGACCGGTGCACCGAATTTGTCCAAGGAGCTGGGCCCTCAAAGCCGCGGAGGCTTTCCTGAGCTCTTGCAGCCCAGGCTTCGTCCAGGAGGTCATTCAGCTGTCCAGTCTAATTAGCATATTAAACTTTTATTGTTATAGATTTTGTTGTTAATCCTTACCCGAGGACATTTTTCCATTAATTTTTAGGGAGAGTGGGGGGGAGAGGGAAAGACAGATGGAAACATCCATGTGAAAGAAACACATCAGTTGGTTGCCTCCTGCATGGGCCCTGACCAGGTACATGCTCTTGACTGGAATTGAACCCGGGACCCTTTGGTCCGCAGGCCGATGCTCTGAGACAAACCAGACAGAACTTTTTAATTTTATTGATTTCAGAAAGAAGGGAGAGGGGGGGAGAGAGAGATAGAAACATCAATGGTGAGAGAGAATCATTGGCTGCCTCCTGCATGCCCCACACTGGGGATGGAGCTCACAACTTGGCCACATGCCCCTGAGCAGAATCAAACCCAGGGCCCTTCAGTCTGCAGACCAATACGCTATCCATTGAGCCAAACTGGTTTCGGCTTATTGATTTTTTTACAGAGAGGAAGGGAAAGGGATAGAGTCAGAAACATCGGTGAGAGAGAAACATTGATCAGCTGCCTCTTGTACACCCCCCAGGGGGGATGTGCCCGCAACCAAGATACATGCCCTTGACTGGAATTGAACCTGGGACCCTGGAGTCTGTAGGTTGACGCTCTATCCACTGAGCCAAACCGGTTAGGGCTTATTAAATATATTTTATTGATTTTTACAGAAAGGAAGAGAGAGGGATAGAGAGTTAGAAACATCCATCAGTCCTAAACAGTGTTACTCAGTGAATAGAGCATCGGCCTGCAGACTGAAGGGTCCCAGGTTCAATTCTGGTCAAGGGCATGTACCTTGGTTGGGGGCACATCCCCAGCAGGAGGTGTGCAGGAGGCAGCTGATGGATGATTCTCTCTCATCGATGTTTCTAACTCTCTATCCTCCCTTCCTCTCTGTAAAAAGCAATAAAATATATTTAAAAAAATAATAATAGCCGAAATCGGTGTGGCTCAGTGGATAGAGTGTTGGCCTGTGGACTGAAGGGTCCCGGGTTCGATTCTGGTCGAGGACATGTGCCTTGAGGGCATGTGGGGGGGGGGTGCGGGAGGCAGCTGATGGATGATTCTCTCTCATCGATGTTTCTAACTCTCTATCCTTCTCCCTTCCTCTCTGTAAAAAATCAATAAAATATATTTTTAAAAGTAATAATAAAATAAAAATAAATAAGATTTAAAAAGGAATTAGCTAGGTGCTCTCCACCCTCGGCCCCTCCCTGGGCCTGGGGGTGAGGAGCCAGCTGTGTGCCCGGAGCAGCTCCCGCCCCAGGAGGCCCAGAGGAGCCACCGCAGCTGCTCTGCATCCCGGAAACGGCCATGTGGAGCCTTCAGCTTCGCCCCCGAGCCACCCTGAGGGGCCCACACGCCCCGTCCAGGAACCGACCTCCCCCCGTGGCCCCGGGAGGCGATGCAGCCATGAGCAGCCACAGGCGGCTAGGAGACACGACTGCAGACCGAGCAGCCACTGCCAACAAGGAGCCATCAGCCAAAGCAGTGGTTCTCAGTAGCCCACCGAGCGGCAACACACCGCCTTTATTATCATCATTTTTTTAAATAGATCTTACTGATTTTTCACACAGAGGGAGGGAGAGGGATAGAGTCAGAAACATCGATGAGAGAGAAACATCCATCAGCTGCCTCCTGCACACCCCCTACTGGGGATGTGCCAGCAGCCAAGGTACATGCCCTTGACCGGAATCGAACCTGGGACCCTTCAGTCCACAGGCCAACACTCTATCCACTGAGCAGCACTGGTTTCAGCTGCACCTGCAGCTTTAAGGGTCGTACCCGCTCCCCCATGGGGAGGGGAGGGCTGCCCATGGCCCCACTGGAGGGACGGACCACGGCCAGGCCCACATGCCTCGTCCCCCTCGGCCAAGGGGGCAGGTGTGGGCAGCAGCAACGGAAGGGAGGAGGTGAGAGAAAGAGAAACATCCATGATAAGAGAGAATCATGGATGGGCTGCCTCCTGCACACCTACCACTGGGGATGTGCCCACAACCAAGGTACATGCCCTTGACCGGAATCGAACCCGCGACCACCCCAGTCCACAGGCCCCTGCTCTATCCACTGAGCAACACTGGCCAGGGCTGTATATTAGGACACTGAGCAGGAAATACTAACTGGGTAAGCAGTGTTGTTCTATGGACTGGGCAGGGTCAATGAGGCTACAGGTAGGAGAGAGGCTACCTGTGGGAAGCAGAAGCAGAGATAACGCTTTGTGCTTCTGCATGAGGGTGGCCTGAATTCCACCTCATCGTTCTTTACTTTTTTAAAAATAATTTTATCATTTTAAATATATTTTATTGATTTTTTACAGAGAGGAAGGGAGAGAGATAGAGAGCTAGAAACGTCGATGAGAGAGAAACATCGACCAGCTGCCTCCTGCACACCTCCTACTGGGGATATGCCCGCAACCAAGGTACATGCCCTTGACCAGAATCGAACCTGGGACCTTTCAGTCCGCAGGCCAACGCTCTACCACTGAGCCAAACCGGTTTCGGCTACTTATCTTTTTAAACAAATATATCTTTATTTATTTCAGGGAGAGAGAGAGAGAGAGAAACATCGGTGATGAGAGAGAATCATAGATCGGCTGCCTCCTGCACTCCCCACACTGGGGATCAAGCCCACAATCCAGGCAGGTGCCCTGAAGGGGAACTAAGCCATAACTTCTGGCTCATAGGGTGACACTCAACCACTGAGCCACCTTATCTCCCCACGTCCTGGCCCACACTGAACACAGGGTTTCAGCATCCAGAACAGTTTCTTCTTACTCCACGCATTTGAATTGGCAGCAGATGGTTAGCACGTTCCAGCTAGGAGAGAGACCGGCCAGTATGCGGGGGCTAGTGGAATAGGGAAACTGAGGCAGAGAGCTGAGCAAACCCGCAGAGCGACTTCCAGCAGGTGCAGAAGTTCCCCCCCCCCCCCCCGTGGAGGCCACACCCGGGCCTCAGCGGTACTTCAGCTCCGGGCCCAGAAAAGCAGCAGAACCACGTGGGCGACGTGGCCAGGGCCCACTGAGTGGCCCATCAGTGGAGGGTCCTCCCCTCCCCCCAGGAAAGCCACCCAGAAAACTGGCGAATATTTTGCTGAGACCTCTCCTAAGATTCCTGCCTGGCCTTGGCTGGCGTGGCTCAGTGGATAGAGCGTTGGCCTGTGGACTGAAGGGTCCCAGGTTCGATTCCTGTCAGGGGCATGTACCTTGGTTGCAGGCACATCCCCAGTGGGGGGTGCGCACGCAGGAGGCAGTTGATTGATGTTTCTAACTCTCTATCCCTCTTCCTTCCTTTCAGTAAAAAATCAATTAAAAAATATATTTTTAAAATCATGCCTGCAAAAGAGAGAGAGAAAAGCCACAAGCAAGACAAAGAACCCAGTGTGCTGGCTCCTACCCGGAGCACCCCTGAGCCTCCCTCGCCCCTCCTTCCTCCACAGGCTCTCACCTCCTAAACCCGAAGGGACCCCAGGAGCCTTGCAACCAGGGCACAGCCCCCTGACCCTGTCCCCAAGGCCTCCTTTTCACCCACTTCTTTTCTTTTTACATAGATTTTCATTGCTTTCAGAGAGGAAGGGAGGAGAGAGAGAGAGAGAAACATCATGATGGGAGAGGTTATGTTTTGCAAGCCATGAAGCATATGGAGCATCAGGTGAAACATTATTTTTCATATATTTTTATTGATTTCAGAGAAGAAGGAAAAGGGAGAGATAGAAACATCAATGATGAGAGAGAATCATGGATCGGCTGCCTCCTGCACACCCCACACTGGGGATTGAGCCCACAACCCGGGCCTGTGCCCTTGACTGGAATTGAACCCGGGACCCCTCAGTCCGCAGGCCGATGCTCTCTCCACTGAGCCAAACCAGCCAGAGCCAAATATAATAAGTTGTTTTTTGTTTGTTTTTTTAATCTTCCAAAATCTGCATTCCACAGTGGCTATTACAGTGCCCTGCTGCTGACAAAGGAAAAAATAAGAGATGTGCATCAACCAATTATGCTTTTAAGTCACCCATACAAGGCAGATCTCCGTATATAGCAGCCAAAGATCAATGAAGCGAAAGCTTTACTGGAAGGGCAAGCTAAAAAGTGAAGCTAATGTATGATGAATTTTCAGTTCTCATTAATCATGTGTATGAGAACCAGCTTTTATAATAAAATGTCCGGAAGCTACACATTTAGAATAAATAATAATAGCCCTAGCCGGTTTGGCTCAGTGGACAGAGCATTGGCCTGCAGACTGAAGGGTCCTGGGGTTTGACTCTGATCAAAGGCACATGCCTGGGTTGTGGGCTCGATCCCCAGTGGGGGCCGTGTAGGAGGCAGCAGATCTGGGAATCTCTTTCATCATGGATGCCTCTATTTCTTCCCTCTCCCTTCCTCTCTGAAATCAATAAAAATCTATTTTTCAAAAGATTAAAAAAAAAAACATAACACGCCTCAAACAATCTGAGCTTCACAAAGCCAGATAAAAATGTTTTCAAAAACCAAAAGAAAAAAAAAATGTTTTCAAAAACCTCAGTAATTGCCGTAACCAGTTTTGCTCAGGGGATAGACCATCAGCCTGCAGACTGCAGAGTTTGATTCCCGTCAAGGGCATGTACTTTGGTTGCAGGCACATCCCCAGTAGGAGGTGTGCAGGAGGCAGCTGATCGATGTTTCTAACTCTGTATGCCTCTCCCTTCCTCTCTGTAAAAAAATCAATAAAGTATATTTAAACACACACACACACACACACACACACAAAGTAATCCCTTGTAGACAAGTAATCAGTTGCAAACAACACGCACCACAAACATGCAGACCTCACCCCCCTAATCCCCCCCGCAAAAAACCCTAAAACTGTCATTTGAACCACGACCTGGGATCAAACGCGGGACAGAGGCGAAAGGAGAAGGCGCTCTTGCTGAAACCGGTTTGGTTCAGTGGATGGAGCGTTGGCCTGCGGACTGGGGGGGTCCCTGGTTCGACTCCGGGGGTCCCTTGGTTGCAGGCACATCCCCAGTGAGGGCTGTGCAGGAGGCAGCTGATCGATGTCTCTCTCTCTCATCGATGTTTCTCACTCTCTATCCCTGTCTCTTCCTCTCTGTTAAAATAAATAAATAAATAATATATTTTTTTTAAAAAAAAAAGGCGCTCTTACAAACACGCTCACTTGGCCGGGGCAGCGGCAAACCCTGTGCTGGCCAAGGTCAGCGCCTGGGACACTGGCGTCCACCCCCCCGCGCCGAGAAAACTACATTACCCAGAGTCCCACGCGCCGACGGACGGCGGGCGCAGCCAATGAACGCTCGGGAGCGGGGCGGCTCTGGGCTGCGCCGAGGGGTCAGGGCGGGACTTCCGGGTCCTCCTCGTGGCGGTCATTTTGGCCTCCCGGCTCCCTCCGGCGGCGGCTCGCCTCCGCGCGCTCCTCGGAGCCCCCCGCCCGGGCCGCGATGGAGGAGGCGCCGGAGGGGCGGTCCCCGCTGCGCGGCGGCGACGCGGCGGGCTGGCGGGTCGTCGCGGTCGCGGGGGACCCGGGCCTGCCGGGCCCGCACCCCCCGCTCCGCCCACAAAGTCCAATGGCGGCGGCCGCGCTGCGGTTCCCGGCGGAGGTGAGCGCGGCCCCGGGCGGCCGGGCGGCCGCGGGCGGAGGGGGACGCCGGGCGCCGGGGATGAGAAGGGGGACCGGCCGGGGCCACGGCGGGGTCCGGGGGCGTCGGAGCCGGGGACGCGCTGCCCGGCCCCGCGCCGTGTCCGCCGGCGGCGGAGGGCGCGGCGCGCGGGGCCGGAGCGGCGATGGAACAAAAGAGGGACGTTGTCTCCGATGCGGTTCTCGGGGTTCCTTCCCCCCGAACTGCCCGGGTGAGCGAGGCCGGTGCGCAGGGCGGGGCGGGGGGCGGCGCCCCGGGACCCCGGACCCCGGACCTACTGGCAGCCCCGCCGCCCGCGGCGCCCAGGACTCCAGCCTGCACCTGGGGACCCGGACGTCAAGGGTCGGAGGTCAAGGGTCGATTCCCGGGTTGGCACTCTACCCCTCCCCCCGGGGGTGCAGGCTGGATCCCCACTAGGGGGGCGGGGCGCCCAGGAGGCGGTCGGCCCGTGATTCTCTGTCTTCATCGATTTCCTGTCTGTCTCTGCCTCCGCCTTCCTCTGTGAAATCGATAAAAACATATTTAAAAAGAGAAAGAAAGGAAGCAAGAAAGGACGGAATTGGCAAGCGTCTGCACTGCGGCCCGAGAGCCCTGAGCGGAGGGGGGCGGCGGCCCCGGCCCCGGGGCTGGGCCAGGCCCCGAGCAGCCTGAGCCCCGGGTCCTGGCGGCGGAGCCGGGCCCTCAGCGCCTTCAGCTCCCACAGGCCCTGCGGTCAGAGCCGCGCAGGGGCCGGGCTGTGGGCTGAGGTCAGGGCCTCCCACTGCGGGGGCCTCAGGCTGTGGGGCCTGGGCTGTCCAGCCGCTCCTCCTGCCCCGGGACCTGCAGACCCTCAGCCCAGGGTCCTGAGGCCAGGTCCGAGGTGATAAAGAAGTGGTGTCAGCCCTGACCGGTGTGGCTCAGTGCATAGAGCTTGGGCCTGCAGATGAAGGGTCCCAGGTTCGATTCTGGTCAAGGGCACGTACATTGGTTGCAGGCACATCCCCAGTGGGGGTGTGCAGGAGGCAGCTGGTTTATGTTTCTCATTCTCTAACCCTCTCCCTTCTTCTCTGTAAAAAATCAATAAAATGTATTTTAAAAGAAAAAGAAGAAGCGGATTCAGTGTTTGGCCCCCAGTGGAGTGAGATGTGGGATGTGGGGGTCCTCCCGGGCACAGGTGCCAGGATGTGCAGTGGCTTCTGTGGGCGGCCGAGCTGGTTCAGGCACCTGCAGGTGCAGGTGACCTTGCTTTGTTTTTTAAAAATATACTTTATTGATTTTTTTTACAGAGAGGAAGGGAGAGGCATAGAGAGTTAGAAACATCGATCAGCTGCCTCCTGCACACCTCCTACTGGGAATGCGTCAGCAGCCAAGGTACATGCCCTTGACCGGAATTGAACCTGGAGCCCTTCTGTCCACAGGCCAATGATGTATCCTCTGAGCTAAACTGGTTAGGGCTGTCCTTGCTTTTGCTTTCTTATGGGAACTGGGAACAATTGGGACAGGAGTCTGATTTAAAAAATATACATATATTTTTTATTAATTTCAGAGAGGAAGGGAAAAGGAGAGGGAGAGATAGAAACATCAGTGATGAGATAGAATTATTGAACAGCTGCCTCCTGCACACCCCCTACTGGGAATCAAGCCCATAACCTAGGCATATGCTCCCAGCCACAATCGAACCTGGGACCCTTCAGGCCTCAGGCCAACTGAGCCAAACCAGTTAGGGCCAGATTTTTAAAAATATATATATATTATTGATTTTTACAGAGAGGAAGGGAGAGGGATAGAAAGTTAGAAACATGGATGAGAGAGAGACATCGATCAGCTGCCTCCTGCACACCCCCTACTGGGAATGTGCCTGCAACCAAGGTACATGCCCTTGACTGGAATCGAACTTGGGACCCCCCAGTCCGCAGGCTGCTGCTCTATCCACTGAGCCAAACCGGTTAGGGCTTGATTTTTAAGTATATATATATCTTTATTGATTTCAGAGAGGAAGGGAGAGAGAGTGAGAAACATCAATGATGAGAATCATTGATTGGCTGCCTCCTGCAACCCCCCTCTCATCCCCCCCCACACACACACACACACTGGGGATTGAGCCAGCAACCCAGGCATGTGCCCCTGACCCGAATGGAACCCAAGACCCTTGGGTCTGCAGACTGAGGCTCTATCCACTGAGCCACACTGCCAGTGCAGGAGTCTGATCTGGAGCAGCTTTGTGACAGTCGGGTGTCTGTGTGCAGGTGGTGGGCCCGTGGGGATTGGCAGGCTCTGACCCAGGGCGGTGAGGCTCCTGGTGGATGCAGCGTGGAGGGTGAGGGCGGGGTGGGGGTGAGGGCGGGGTGGGGGTGGGGGTGGGGTGGTTGCCGAGGCTGGAAGACAGGGAGGAGGCTGCTGGGAGCGCCTGGGAGGGTGTGATGCTCGCGGGGCCGTGATGGTGGAGGTGGAAATGGGAAACGCAGTTGGGTTTTGGTGTTTTAGGTGTGATCCCTGGATTTTTAATGTTATGTATTGGTTTTAGGGAGACAGGAGGAGTGAGAGAGAGAGAGAGACTTTGGTTTGTTGTTGAACTTCATGCATTCACTGGCTGATTCTGGTATGTGCCCTGAACCCTCAACCTTGTCCTATCGGGACAGCTCTCCTCCAACTCAGCAACCTGCCAAGGGCACTGCCAGAGAGAGAGAGAGAGAGAAGAGAGGGAGAGAGGAAGAGAGGGGGGGGGGGGGGGGGGGGGGGGGGGGGGGAGGGAGAAAGAAAGGGGAGGCAGGGTGGCATGGAAACGGGGTTGCTCCTGGCGGAATGGGGTCGCTGCACACAGAGAGGGCAGTCCGGAGCAGTGAGGGCGGGTGCGTGCAGAGTATCAGGTTTGTTTCTGGCCTGTGGGCGACGAGAAGTCCGGGAGCCGGTCCAGGAGGGGTTCAGGGTGGAGACTCCCCAGAAGGGAGTGGGGTGTCCGGACTGGGAGGAGCTGTGGGATTGCCTGACGAATGAGGAATCCTGGAGAAGGGTGTGTGTGTGTAAGGGGGGTGAGGATTGTGGGGGTCACACAGGTGACGGAGGCGGCGGTCGCGTGGAGGGTGGGAGACTCTGGTTGGGGAGCGGTCACGGCCTCCAAGGCTGGGGAGTAACTCACACAGGATGGGGGGGGCGTGGGGGTTCGCAGGCCCGGCTCCAGAGCCTCCCCGAGATGGTGCTGTGGCCTGGGCGTGGCTGGCAGGCTAGCCCAGTGCTCTGTGGTCACGGGGAGGTCCCGTGGCCTGGGGGGGGGGGCTGTGTGGGGCGAGGACGGAGGCTGTGACTGCAGGAACATGAGGTGCGGCCCCAGGGGAGGCTGAGGGCCCCGGCAGGTGATGTGGGGACAGGGACCCTGGGGAAGGCGGCCTTCGGGCGGGACTCCGGCCGCCCCTGTGGGGGTGGGCCATCAGCGTCCGGGAGGCTTGGTCTTCTAGAATCGTCCGAGCCTTCTCTGGACCCCACTCGCTGAGTAATGAGGAGGGGCCAGAAGACAGGGTGTGGGACAGGAGGGGGCGGGGCTGGGGGCGTGCTGGCGGAGGGTGTGGTGGGAAGAGGGATGGGCAGGTGGGGAGGGGTGTGAGCTCACGGCCAGGGCCTGGTGCTGATGTCCCGGGGATCCCTGTCTGCTGCATCTGGTGGAAGGTGACGCGCCCCCGGGGGAGTGCCTGGGAGGAGGGGGTGGGGGTCCGCATGCGGGTCCACAGCTGAGAGCCATTCTCTGCCCGCCCGCCTGTAGCTGAGGGCGGACACAGTGAGGCTGGGCTTCAGGGACACAGTGGGTGTCAGGGCGCCCAGGCTGGAGTCTCACTGGACTCCAGTGAGCAGGGGCGGCTCAGGGAGGCGGTTCCCTCCTATTGTGACCACCAGGCTGATGGGACCATGCTGTCCTGTCCCCCGGCTGCGCTGTCCCCCAGGCTGTGCTGTCCCCCCGGCTGTGCTGTCCCCCCGGCTGTGCTGTCCCCCCGGCTGTGCTGTCCCCCGGGCTGTCCTGTCCCCCGGCTGCGCTGTCCCCCGGGCTGTCCTGTCCCCCGGCTGCGCTGTCCCCCAGGCTGTGCTGTCCCCCCCGGCTGCGCTGTCCCCCGGGCTGTCCTGTCCCCCGGGCTGTGCTGTCCCCCGGCTGTGCTGTCCCCCGGGCTGTGCTGTCCCCTGGCTGTGCTGTCCCCCGGGCTGTGCTGTCCCCCCGGCTGCGCTGTCCCCCGGGCTGTGCCTTCGCAGTCGCACTTCTGGGAGTGGAGTGTGCACGGGGGTGGTGCCAGGTTCCGTGTGGAGCGCGGGGCTGCCTCGGCGCCGGGGACGGTGCTGAGCGTGGAGCCTGAGGCCCTGCTTCCGTTTCCTGAGGGGCCATGTCAGGGTCACAGGGCGCTGCCTGATGGACGAGTGTCTGACCACTCCCTCCTGCTCCGAGGCCAGCTCCCCTCCCCCTGCCTGCGGCCCCACTGTGTGCCCGGGCACAGGGCACCTCTGCCCTCTCCCTGGGGTCGGGAGTGAGTACCCGAGAGGGACTTGGTGGGACCGAGCCGGTGTCTGCTGCGGTGGGCGGGGCAGAGGAAGGAAGGTGTCAGGTCTGCAGAGCGTGAACTCCCGGAGAGAAGCTGACGGGCGTGCCCTGTGCTCGCTGACAGGACATGAGCTTTGAGGACGTGACGGTCGCCTTCTCCCAGGAGGAGTGGGGGCTCCTGGACGCGGCCGAGAGACTGCTGTACTGCGACGTGATGCTGGAGATCTGCACGCTCGTGGCGGCCGTGGGTGAGCCTGGTGCTTCCTGTGCCCTGAGCTGACCCGCCTCCCCTTTCTCCGGAAAGAGCTGCGGGTCCACAGCCCGGCCGAGGGCTCTGCTCATGCCCCCCCCCCCTGCCCCCGCTTCCTGTCACTCCTGTGAGCGGTGGGTGCCCTGCCCCCTGGACAACCCGAGTGGCCTCAACAGAGCGGGAGAGAGCAGGAGTCAGGGGCCTCGCAGACAGCCTGACGCCCCGCCTCCTCAGCCTCTCCCCGAGGGTGACCCTGTCCAGATCCGGGGCCTCCATTGCTGCCCCTCCTCTGGCTGAGCGTGCTGTGTGACTTGCTGGACCCGCCATGGTCATCCCGTCCGGGGACCATGGCTGTTCCCGTCAGGTCTCCGATGCCGGTGTCTGCGAGCGGCTCTTCCCCGGGCTGGCTGCTCCCCTCTGTCCTTCATTAGGACCCGGTCCCGGAGCCGATGGGCAGCGGGGGGTGCAGGGCGCCCTGGTTTTTCACAGGGTGCCGTGTCCAGGCGGCCTCAGAGGGGCTTTCCCAGGGGGGTGGCCACTGGGGAAGAGGAGGGTGCCCTGGGAGCTGGTTCAGATCACGCCAGGATTCTGCCCTGTTCCCAGTCGTGTGCTGGTGCCCGGCCGCTGGCCGCCTGGCCGTCCTGTCCTGTTAACTGTGACTCCCAGCCCCTCCCCTCCGGCTTCTGCGCATCACCGCTCCCTCTCCGGCGCTGACGTGCTGTGAGGGGTGTGTGGACGCCAAGCTGCCATTTACTGGATTGTATATTGGCTCTGTCATCAGCGAGCAAGCCTTGCTGGAAGCCGTCACCGGGAGAAGGATCTGCAGACCCTGCTCTCCCGAGTGGTCAGGCCGTCTGTGGGGTTTGTGGTGAGGTCTCCCTGTTTGTGATCCTCAGAGGCAGCAGCACGCTTCAGCCTGCCTCCGTCCGGGGCTCTTGTCACACGGTCCCAGGAAGCCCCCGGAGCCCGACAGGCCCTGGTGACGGGCTGGGCCTGCCTCACCCTCTCCTCGTTTCTCTGCTTCCAGGCTATTGGCAGAGGCCGGAGGCCGCGGAGGCCCCCGCTGAGCAGGCGGCGCCGGCAGAGGCAGAGGCAGAGCCGCAGGTCGGGGCGCCCGAGGCCGAGCCGGCGGCGGCGAAGACGCACTCCTGCGAGCAGTGCGTCCTGGTCCTGAAAGCCATCTTCCACCTGACGGAGCTGCAGGCGGGGAACCCGGAGCAGAGGGCCTTCTTCAGCGACGCCTGCGCGCGGGGCTTCTGCTTCCGCGCCAACATCCACCAGCAGCCGCGGGCGGCCGGCCCCGAGGAGGCCTGGCGGGCGGACGCGGACGGCGCCGCCCTCATGACCAGCAACAGCTTCTACGTGTCCGGGGCGGGGGCCGAGGGGGGCCTGGCCGCCGCCGCCCCCGGCCTGCTGCAGCACCAGCCGGCGCTGAGCTCCGAGGAGCCCCACAGCGTCATCGAGAGCTGGCAGGCCGTGCACGGCGGGCCGGGCCCGCGCCAGTGGGGCGAGTGCGAGCAGGCCGCCTTCCACGGCTCGGACCCGGGCCAGCCGCAGAGCGCCTACACGGGGGAGGGGCTGTTCGAGTGCAGCCAGTGCGGCAAGGCCTCCATCCAGGTCTTCAACCTCATGCTGCAGCGGAGCGTGCTCCCGGCCGAGAAGCTGCCCTACGAGTGCGGCGTGTGCGGCAAGTGCTTCAGCTGCGAGTTCTTCCTGCTGCGGCACCACAGCGTGCACGCCGACGGCAAGCCCTACGAGTGCAGCGTGTGCCGCAAGTGCTTCAGCTGCAAGTACACCCTGCTCCAGCACCAGAGGATCCACTCCGAGGAGAAGCCCTACGAGTGCAGCTTCTGCAAGAAGTGCTTCAGCTACAAGTTCAACCTCATGAGGCACGAGAAGATCCACACCGGGGAGAACCCGTACGGGTGCAGCGACTGCGGCAAGTCCTTCAGCCACAGCTCCGCCCTCATCCGGCACAAGAGGGTCCACACCGGGGAGAGGCCCTACGAGTGCAGCGACTGCGGGAAGACCTTCACCAACAGCTCCGCCCTCATCCAGCACCAGAGGGTCCACACCGGGGAGAAGCCCTATCAGTGCACCGAATGCGGCAAGTGCTTCCGGCAGAGCTCCGCCCTCATCTACCACCAGAAGGTGCACGCCGGGGAGAAGCCGTACGAGTGCGGGGACTGCGGCAAGTGCTTCCGGTACAACTACATCCTCATCCAGCACCGGAAGGTTCACACTGGAGACAGGCGGTACGAGTGCGGGGTTTGCGGGAAACGCTTCATCTACAACTTCAACCTCATCAAACACCAAAGAATCCACACCGGCGAGAAGCCGTACGTGTGCAGCGATTGCGGGAAGGCCTTCAGACGCAGCTCCTCCCTCATCCAGCACAAGAGTGTCCACAGCGAGGAGAGGCCTTACGAGTGCAATGAGTGCGGGAAGTCTTTCACCCGGGCATCGAACCTCCTCAGGCACTGGAGAGTTCACACAGGGGAGCGGCCCTATGAGTGTAGCGATTGCGGCAAGTCCTTCAGCCACAGCTCCGCCCTCATTCAGCACAAAAGGGTGCACACTGGAGAAAGGCCTTACGAGTGCAATGAGTGCGGGAAAACGTTCACCCGCACGTCCAACCTCCTCAGGCACTGGAGAGTTCACACTGGAGAGAGGCCCTATGAGTGTGCTTACTGCGACAAGTCCTTCAGCCACAGCTCCGCCCTCATTCAGCACAAAAGGGTGCACACTGGAGAAAGGCCTTACGAGTGTAACGAGTGCGGGAAGTCTTTCACCCGCACGTCCAACCTCCTCAGGCACCGGAGACTGCACACTGGGGAAAAGCATTGACGGCCCAGGGGAGGCTGTGTTTCCGCTCAGGCTGACGGCACCGGGGGAGACCCTTAGAGGCCAGTTCAGCTGGGTTAAAGCCTGTTTCAGCGGGACACGCAGTGCGCTAGGTCCTCGTGCGCTAGGTCCGAGTGAGGCTTCGAGGAGGTCCATTGCACTTTCCCTCCTGCCCAGGGCTGTCCTAGGTGGATGTCACTGCTGAGGCCTCCTCCACCGGGCTCACCTGCACAGGTGTGCCGGCCACGCCCCTGCGTGCTCTCCTGCGGGAGGAAATGAGGAATCCGCAGGCCTCCGGGGCCCCCTCCTTCCTTTCTCTCCCCCCAGGGGCGGACAGAGGACCCGGCCTCGGCTGAGAGGAGCTCCTTCCCTGCGGACGGTGCTCCCGCACGGACGCTGTGACGATTCTCCCTCGCCAGCCTGGCCCTTCGCTGTGAGCGTCCCCGGGTCCTGGTATGTTCGGGCAGGTCTCGGCACCTTTCACCTCGGTGGTTGTACAGTCGCTGTGTGAGATGATGTGGAATGAGAACTGTGGTCGGCCAGCGCATGGAGGGGCACGTGTTTGTGGGGATCCCTGACTGTCTTGTGTGTCTGGGGGGACGGGGATAGTGGGAAGTCGCTCTGTGTCCCATGTTGGCCCATGGCCTGCATGACTCTGGTCCCGATGTAAAATCTGGCGCCACGATGGGGGGGGGGGGTCAGAGGTCACTCTGAAGAGGGGGTATTTTCTTGTGCTTCTGTGGACAATATGAATTTTATTCCTTTTACTGTGTACACTACGCACTTCCGCCTGTGCTGAGGTCGGCAAGGGAGCCCCGGGCAGTGGAGGGGGAGCTGCCCGAGGGGGAGTGACTTGTCTCAGGGGGAGGTGGGCCCACAGTGGGGACAGGAGCGCTGTGTTCACCGTGAGGGGGAGACGAGCAGGTTAGGACGAGGGTGTCTCTCCCGGGAGCTCAGCCGCAGACGTCCCAGGGCCCTGGCTTCCGTGGTCTGTGGCCGTACACCCTGTGACCTCTGTCACTGCTTCCACCAGCTGTGTGGACCCCTCGCCTCTCTGGGTGTGCACCTCCCGGCCATTGCCAGCACGTCTGCGGCCCCGCTGGCACTCCTGTGGCTCGGGGGGCGGGGGTAGAGGGGGGACAGAGTATTCGCCGCCCTCCGGCAGGGCTGCGCCTCCTGGGACCAGAGGGGGGGGGTAGGGTCCACATGGGTTTGCCAGCCGGACCCCCTTAGGAAAGAGGGCTGTTCGGCCTCCTCGGAGCCGTGTTAAAGCTTTATTCATGTACTATATATGCATTCTCCACACGCAACCAAGTGCACTTACCTGACGTGTACTGTCTGGTGAGCTTTGACGGACGGATAAAGCTATGAAACCATCACAGCAAACGGACTGGCCTGGCACTCACACGCAGGGTGGGGCAAGTGTAGGTGTCAAGTAGCGAGCACGTGAGACATAGCGTCTATTCTGTATTATTTATTGATTCCCATGATGATTCCCATGCTGCCCATCTACTCCGGCTCCACCCTGAGTTCCCACCTGCCCTTCCGTAACCTCCCCGCCTGTCACAGCCATCGACCCGCCTTTATCCACCATAGATAGGTTAGCTCGTATCCCTGTGATGTCATAGGTGTATGCCCTCGAGAAGATAACGGATTCCCCCAGCAGCCAATGGTGTCCGATTCCGGCAGCGATGCTGATGCGAATGCTGATTCCCTTCGCTGCTTCGGCGCAGTCTGTCCTGTAAATAACCCCCGGTTTATCCATTTGTCTGCCCACGGTTAGGTTACTTCCGGGTTTGCGGTATTACGAATAAAGCTGCTACGAATGTGTGCTTTCCGTTCTTTCTGTCCCATCGCCCCGTGTCTCCCCCAAGGCGACGATGTGGGTAAACGTTAAGTCTTTACAAAACGCGGAACCGTGGTCTGCGCTGGCCCTTTGCCCTCCCGCCACCGCGGTGTGTGAGGACGCGGGTCCTCCTGCACCGTTTGCCAGCCCTTCCCGTAGCTCCTGTTTTAAATATCCCCAGATAGCCCTAGCCGGCGTGGCTCAGTGGATGGAGCGTCAGCCTGGGGACTGAAAGTTCGATTCCGGTCAAGGGCATGTACCTTGGTTGCGGGCACATCCCCAGTAGAAGGTGTGCAGGAGGCAGCCTATTGATGTTTCTCTTGCATTGATGTTTCTAACTGTATCCCTCTCCCTTCCTCTCTGTAAAAAATCAATAAAATATATTAATTTTAGCAGGGTAGCGGTAGCTTGTTTGTTGCAGGTCCAGCTCCCTGACAACTCGCCGTGCATTTATTTATGAACACACGGCCTCTGTCTCCTCAGGCAAAATGTCTGCCAGAATCCCCGCCGCCGTTCCCTTTGTGTGAATTCCTTGTTTTATTGAGTGGGAAGGCAGAGTAGCATCCAAACACGTGTTGGAATGTCACTCATTCCTCAACCACCTGAGTGACACCTTTGCCCGATGGAACAGTTTTCGTGTATTTTTAATTATAGTTTTATTGATTTCAGAGAGGAAGGGAAGAGAGAAAAAGGACACATCAATGATGAGAGAATCATTGATTGGCTGCCTCCCCCACGCCCCACGGGGGAGGGGTCAAGCCCACCTCCTGTGTGCTTGCCCTGACCTGAAATCGGACCGTGACCTGCTTCATAGATGGATGCTCAAGCACTAGGCCCGCCAGCCTGGCCGAAGTGTGTGTTTCACATGGTTTTCACAGCGGACGCGGCAGCAGCAGAGTCCTCTGAAGCCACGTGCCAGCGGTCCCTGTGCCCTGGGGCCTCAGGAGGCATGCGGCCCGCACAGCCACTCGGTCCCCTTGGCCCCCGATCTGCGCTCATCCCTGTGGGCAGGACGCGGAGTCGGGAGGAGACGGGATGGCCTACTGGGACGGCCGTTACAGGGTCATCTCACCCCAAACTTGTTTTGTTTTTTTTTTAATGAAAGAGGAAGTTGATTATTTAATCTTCCTCTACCTGAGGGTATATCTTTGTTGATTTTAGAGAAAGGAGGAAAGAGAGAGGATCATCGGGATAAGAGGAACTTTGGTTGCCTCCCTCAGGGACCCAGACCCGGGGACGGAACCTGCCAATGGGGTGTGTGCCCCGGCTGGGACTCCAGCCCGTGACCTCTGTGTGCTGGGCCACTCCTACCAGCTGACCGCCCACCAGGCCCCAAACACCTGCTTTAGAGAAACCATTCCCAGCGCCTGGGCCTGGGCCCGGTCTGTTAACCAGTTCCCTTCGCCCTCCGGGAGAGCCGGCAGAGAACCAGGGGCCCCCAGCGGGGCCATGGTACGTCCCCGGGAACCTCCCCACCGGAGACTGAAGGGAGATGCCCAGAAAGGCCCCTGCCTTTGCATTGCTTTTCCGAGGGACAGGGAGGGAGGGAGGGAGGGAGGGAGGGAAAGGAGAGAGATAAACATCCATTGGTTGCCTCCCACATCTACTCTGATGGAGAGGGGAGCGAGGCCAAAACCCAGGTACGTGCCCTTGACTGGGAACCCAGCCCTCACTCCTTCCATGTGCAGGCTGGTGCTCTAGCCACGGAGCCATGGGGCCCAGGATGAGATCTTACCATTGGCGGAGTCCTGAGGCCGAATACACAGGCACAGCATGTCCCCCACCTCCCACCCCAGCCACGCAGGGAAGGCCCTTCATTGAACCCAGTTAGCCAGGGAGCCAGCAGGAGTGCCTGTTTTTCTGTGGAGCAGTCTCTCTGCCCCCTACAGCAATGATCTTGATTATACCCTTGGCTTTGTTTTGTTTTAAATATGTTTTTATTGATCTTTTAAAATATATTTTATTGATTCTTTTTCAGAGAGGAAGAGAGAGGGATAGAGAGTTAGAAACATCAATGAGAAACATCCATCAGCTGCCTCCTGCACGCTCCCTACTGGGGATGTGCCTGCAACCAAGGCACATGCCCTTAACTGGAAGGCCAATGCTCTCAATAAAATATATATATATATTTTTTAAATTGTAAACCTTCTTCAAAAAGAAGTCAGAAACCTATCTAAAGCCTTAATCAACCTGAGCTGGTTCAGGCTGATTGGTCCCAGTTTCGATTCAGGCCAAGGGCATGTACCTGGGTTGCAGGCTCCTCCCCAGGCTCGGCCCTGGTTGGAGCTCATGTAGGAGGCAACCAATCAATGTGTTTATCTCACATCAATATTTCTGTCTTTCCCTCTCCTTAAAAATCAATAGAAAAGTATCCTCGGGTGAGGATTAAAGAAAAAAAAAAAGCCTTAATCAGCTTTTCACAATGTATCTGTGTATCAAGTCACAGCATGTTCTTTGTATGGATCTCACAGGTTAATCAATTACACCTAAATAAAGCTGGCCAAAAAGCCAGGTGACACATTCACACAAAACCATCATCTCAGCCCACTTTGGAAAAGGATCAATACGTGTACTACCACCCTGGTCGGCTTGACTCGGTGGTCCTGGTTCGATTCCGGCCAAGGGCACAGGCCTGGGTGGCGGGCTTAGTGCCTAATGGAGGGTGTGCAGAAGGCTGCTGGTCAATGATTATCATCATTGATGTTTCTCTGTCTCCCTTCCTCTCTGAAATCAATAAAAATATATTAAATTTTTTTTTAATGTGCTAACATTAAGGAACTCTCTGGAGGATTATCAGTTGTACGACCCTACCCACAAACCTACCAATCTCCCCAAAACTTACAGGTGACATTGCAGCCATGACCAGGGACCAAAACCCTGGCTCTGGCTTGAGAAGGCCCTCTAACAGATTGACCTACTCAGTCAGAGTCTAAGCCACACCTTAATTATTACTTTTATTATATTTCATTGATTTTTTTTGAGAGAAGAAGGGATGGGGATAGAAAGATAGAAACATCGTGGACACCCCCCCCCCCCCAAAAAAAAAGGCATTGTGAAGCTGCCGGCAAGGAAACCACAACACTGATATGTACTCTGTCCAGGAATCAAACCAGTGGCCTCATGCTTACCAGCCACAAAAACCTACCTGTGAGCTATAGCAAGCCTCCTCTGAGGTTCCTAAGACCATAGTAACTGACCGCTTCGGCTACAGAAACTACATTACCCAGAAGGCAATGCGCCCAACAATGGCGGCTTGAGCCAATGAGAACCCAGGAAGCGGGCCGTTTCCATGATGCCCATGTCGTTAGGGCGGGACTTCCGGCGTCCCCCTCTGGGCTGTCAGGTGGGCCTGTTTGGCGGATTCAAGGAATTAGCGCGCCAAGTCCCGACGGAGGGAGCGCCGCGGGTCCTCCCGCCGTGCGCGGCGGGTCCGGGGCTCCTGCAGCCGCCGCGGTCCGGTTCGGGGCCTCGCGGGCCCCCTCCGCCCGCAGAGTCCGCGGCGGCGGCCGCGCCGAGGCGCCGGGCTGAGGTGAGCGCGTCCCCCGGGCCTCCCGCCTCCCCGCCCCGGCCCCGGCCCCGGCCCCGGCCCCGCTGCCGTCTCCCCGGTGCCCCAGGCCCCGCCTCAGGGCCGCTGGGCGCTCGGGGGTGACCCCGGCGTGACCCCCGGCGTGACCCGGACGTGAGGAGGGGTCACAGGCAGGGGGAGGGGCTGAGGGGCCGCCGGGTGAACCACGCAGGGGCGGCCGAGCGGGGAGGATGGGGAAACTGAGGCCCAGTTCAGTGTCTAGAAGCAGCAGAGAGGGTGAGGCGAGGTTGCGTGTGGGGAGGTCTCCATTGTTAACGTAAAAACGTAAAAACCACTGAATCCTGTAGAGAATTTTTAAAAAATATATTTTATTGGTTTAACACAGAGAGGAAGGAAGAGGGAGGGAGAGTTAGAAACATCGATGAGAGAGAGACATCGATCAGCTGCCTCCTGCACACACCCCCACGGGGGATGTGCGGGCAACCAAGGTCCATGCCCTTGACCAGAATCGAACCCGGGACCCTTCAGCCCGCAGGCGGACACTCTATCCACTGAGCCACACCGGCCAGGGCTTCTCTGCTGCTTTTGCTCTCCTAAACCAGTGGTGTTTTAGTTGGAAGAGGTCAGAATAGCCAGGACTACTTGTTTTCACAAGTATTGGAGTTCCCTTGTGAACCTATCCGGGCCCCAGGGACAATTGGGGACCAGTTGCTGCCTCCTCTCTGGCCGAGGCCAGCTTTGGTCCCCGGGGTGTTGCAGTCTGGGGTGGGGGATTCGCTTTGGGGCATAGGTGGTCACCAGGGTAACTCACTGGGCTCGGGGAGGTGCAGAGAGGTGAGTGGACACCAAGTGCCGCTCCAGGTTCTTGTGTCCGTGTGGGCCCTCAGAGTCAGCGTCCCCCCGATCCTGTCTGAATCTGCCAGGCAGACCCTGGACCACACATGCTGGGGAACACGGAGAGGGGCCAAGGAGGTGTCCGTGGTGGGGGGCAAGAGGGGGCAGGGCCTGGCGTGCAGGCAGGAGAGGAGTGGTGGGAAGAGCAATGGGCACTTGGAGAAGGAGTGTGATGTCTTGGCCCCCGGGCCCTGGCATGGACATCAGAGAGAACAAAAAAGGGGGCCATGTCTGGCGGGGTCTGGAGGAAACAATAGAGACAGGCTGAGAGTTACTGAAGAGGGGGCTGTTGATTATTGGTGTAAAGAAAGACAAAGAGCCAAAACCGATGTGGCTTAGTGGATAAAGCGTTGGCCTGCGGACTGAAAGGTCCCAGGTTCGACTCCAGTCAAGGGCATGTATCTTGGTTGTGGGCACATCCCCATTGGGGGGTGTGCAGGAGGCAGCTGATCTGTTTCTCATCATTGTTTCTAGCTCTCTATCCCTCTCCCTTCCTCTCTGTAAAAAATCAATAAAATATATATATTTTTTTTTAAAAAAAAGAAAGACAAAGATTTTTAAATGAAACTCTCTGTAGCCTGAAAATTATTTTGGAAGGAAATAAAGAGAAGTTTCCTTCAAACATCTGAAGAACTATAATTAAAAGTCTATATATTTGGCCTCTTAAACTAAAGTAAATAATTTGTGTTTTTGCCTCCCTGATAAATTTTTTAAAAATAATTCTGGGACATTTATTCTTCATTCAACTAAATCGGGCGTCTTCAAACTACGGCCCTCGGGCCACATGCGGCCCGCAGAGGAGTCTGATCCGGCCCGCCAGGTTTTTTGGGCAGTGAGCGCAGCCAAGGTGTTACAGTAGGAATTAGTAGTTCATATAGTCCGGCTCTCCAGCTCTCTGAGGGACCGTGATCTGGCCCCCACTTTAAAAAGTTTGAGGACCCCTGATTACTAAATGGTCCTTTACTATCCCTACTATTCGGCAGCCTCAGAGGTAGGTGGTCTGGTAGTTGGTAGGCACAGCTTTCTTTCTTTTAAAAAAAATATGTTTCTTTATTGATTTCAGAGAGGAAGAGAGAAGGAGAGAGATAGAAACATCAATGATGAGAGAGAATCATTGATAGGCTGCTTCCTGCATGCCCCCTACTGGGCATTGAACCTGGGACCCTTCAGTCCGCAGGCTGACACTATCCACTGAGCCAAGCCAGCCAAGGCATCTCTGATAAATTTTATGTAAATTTAAAGATTAATTGCAGAAACTTAATGTCATTTACTGTTTGTAACCTAAGACAAATAAAGTTAAAGTTAATAAATTAAACTTATTTCAGAGTGCCGAAACCGGTTTGGCTCAGTGGATAGAGCGTCGGTCTGCGGACTGAGGGGTCCCAGGTTCGATTCCGGTCAGGGGCATGTACATTGGTTGCGGACACATCCCCGGTGGGGGGTGTGCAGGAGGCAGCTGGTCGATGTTTCTCTCTCATCGACATTTCTAGCTCTCTATCCCTCTCCCTTCCTCTCTGTGGAAAATCAATAAAGTATATTTAAAAAAATAAATAAATAAAAAATAAACTTATTTCAGAGTAACATAAATTGACTAATTGAAATAAATGAATATTCAAAAGTAAAAACTTAATTGTACTGGATAAAAACTGTTTCTAAAGTATTAACAAAAACTTTTATCAACAAGTAAATCTACAAACCCCCCCAAAAAAAAATCTGATGAACAATATTAACTGGTGAATATAATAGAATCAGAGGTGTGGAAGGGGAGTGAACTGACGATTCTCAGGGAAAAGGGGAGTTGGGGATGTGGGAAGAGACTGAACATAAACTGTGCACCTATGGATGAGGACAATGATGGGGGGGAGGGAAAGAGCAGAGGGTGGGGTGGGAACCTGGTGGAGGGGAGCAATGGGGTGGGGGAGAGGAATATCTGTAATAATATGAACAATAAAGATTAAAAATAAATAAACAAAACAAAACAAAAAACAAAAACTTTTATTGGTGAGTCATCTCAGAATAAAATTACTAAACATGCAATGAATCCAAAGCAGTCATATTTCTGTGCAAAAATAAAAGGTTATCAAGGCTGCATTAGACATGTTACAAAAGCCTCATAATAATACAATAAAAAAAAAAGGGGGTGTGGCTGTTGTCCTACATGCCAGGCTTAAGAGCTGACGTGCCACTTATCTGCCCACCTGCCCATTGCTGAGGGCGGATACACGGGTCAACAGGACCTCGATGGGACAGCAGATGCCAGTGCCCCCTGGGCTTGAACATCACCGCTGGCCTGGGGGAGGGAGAGTGCTAAGCAGGAATAAGTAAGGGTGGTAGTAAAATTAGAATCCTGGGAGGTGACCAGGAAACAAGGTGTTCCTTGTCCACACCTCTCTGCTAGTGAAGGCAATGGGTGGCTTCCAACACAAAATCAAATCACTCACGCCGTCCCTACGGCCAGCTTCCTTCTCTAAGCAATGTTTGTGACATCCCCTGTATTCCCATGATAAGAGGCATTTTGGCCGACATGCCCAGCCCAGAGCCCAGGTATCATCATCCACCCATCGTTGTTGAGGGAAGACACAGAATCAGTGACCGTGGGGAGAGAGCAACTCCGATGGCACCAAGGCCTGGACTCATGTGACGTGGGGAGTGGAGGGAGCAGATGGATGTGGAGTGTGGGGAATCCTAGGAGACAAACCGACTGTGGAGTAAACTGTTCTTCGTTACGACAGGACATGGACTTTGAGGACGTGGCCATCGCCTTCTCCCAGGAGGAGTGGGGGCTCCTCGACGAGGCTCAGAGACTTCTGTACTGCGAGGTGATGCTGGAAATCTTTGCCCTTGTGGCGTCCGTAGGTAAGACCTTCAGATTTTCCGTGTCCTGGGGTGATGTTCTGCCTTCTCTTTTCCATTCCAGAGGTATCACAGCTAGATCATGGGCTCTGCGCTCTTAAACCCACTTTCTTGTCATACGTGCTGGGACTGCCAGTGCTGAGCGTGGTGGCGTGCCCTGAACGAGGAATTCCCTGACTGCTCGTGTGTGCCAGCCGCTCTGGGCCTGTGCTCCTGCTCACTTCTGGTGCCGCACCAGCACAGCCAAGGGTTTGGGGAGCCTGAGGGGGGCTGGTGAAGGATGAAGAAAAGACAGACAAAGAGAATAAGTTGCCGAAACCGGTTTGGCCCAGTGGATAGAGCCGGTGTCGGAACGAAGGCCCCGGGTCATTCCGTCAGGGGAGCGACCTTGGTGTCGGGCCCGCAAGAGCAGCTGCTCGATGATCACGATGTTCACTACTCCCTTGCTCTGTAACAATACAAAAAAATTTTTTTTTAAATATATTTTATTGATTTTGGTTCGAGAGGAGGGAGAGCTAGGATAGAGCATCGGATGCGAGATAGAGTCCTGGATCAGTTGCCGCTGCACACCTCCTCTGGGTATATGCGCAACCAAGGTACAGCCGTGATGTCCGGAATCGAAACGGGTCCCTCAGTCCCCAAGCGACGCTCTATCCATTGAGCTAAACCGGTCCCAGCAAAAAAATTCTTTTTTAAAGAAAAAAAAAGAGAATTAGCTAGGTCTAGGTGGATCTTGTGTGCCTGGCTGAGGCCACAGAACAGATCCAGATGGCAAGCTGACCTTTATTTTATAGCCAGAGGTAAACAAGGTAGGGGTCGCCATGGTTACAGTGTTCTTGCCCCTCCCACAGCCCACTAGCTACCCAGGAAGGATCTAAGGAGCGTCATAACGTCAAGCTTAATTATGCTAAGAGGGCTCTGCCCTCCAAGCTGAGACTTGTTTGCGACTTTGCCAGCAGGCCAGTCCGAGGCTTCACCCTATAACCGCTCACTACAACCTCTTTTTTTTTTTTAAATATATTTTATTGATTTTTTACAGAGAGGAGAGGAAAGGAGAGGGATAGAGAGTTAGAAACATCAATGAGAGAGAATCATCGATCAGCTGCCTCTTGCATACTCCCTACTGGGGATGTGCCCGCAACCCAGGTACATGCCCTTGACCGGAATCGAACCCGGGACCCTTCAGTCCACAGGCTGACGCTCTATCCACTGAGCCAAACTGGTTTCGGCAATTTCTGTCTTCTTTCATTACGCTTTGGATCATTCATATTGGAGTAGTCATACAGTAGCGATGCAGGGAGCTCCCTGGTTTTCTCACCGGGTAGACATGTAATCGCGTCTCGGAGGCCTGGCTGAGCATACTTAAAACAGCACCCTCCCTCTCCCTCCTGTGTCCAATAGTGTTTTGGTGCAAGTTCCATTGGCCACACCTCATTTCTGCCTTTCCTTGCCTATGCTTGACGAGTCTCTCTCTCTCTCTCTCTCTCTGAATGGTCCTTTCATCTGTGACTTCCTGGCTTCAGGCTTCCTTCACGTCTGCGGCCTCCTGGCGCCACCTGGTCTCCCGCACTGCTCCCTCTGGCAGTGTTCTCCACCCTCGGCCTCAGCATGTGTTAGGAGGTTTGCATTCCTCCTTAAGAGGTCTTCAAATACCAGCTCCTTACTTACTGAGTTTTATTGGGAAAGAGACATAATCAACTGTGCACACAGCCTGCCCAGGTCACCAGCAGACAAACTCTGCTGAAGGCTGTTAGGAGAACGAGCCGAGAGCCTGCTCTTGTTCCACGTGGCGCAGGCCATCTTTGTATTCCTTTTCGGGTGAGGGCTGTCCAGTTTTGTGATCTTCAAAGGACAGTGCTGCACAGTAGCCTCTTTTTCCACCTGTTTTTATGCCCCTTGTTTATTTTATTTTTTTATTTTAAATATATTTTATTGATTTTTTTTTTTTACAGAGAGGAATAGAGAGTTAGAAACATTGGTGAGAGAAACATCGACCAGCTGCCTCTTGCACACCCCCTACTGGGGATGTGCTGGCAACCAAGGCACATGCCCTTGACCAGAATCGAACCTGGGGCTCTTTAGTCCGCAGGCTGACACCCTATCCACTGAGCCAAACCGGTTTCGGCTATCCCTTGTTTATTTTTTAAAATATTTTTGTATTGATTTCAGAGAGGAAGGGAGAGGTAGAAAGAGAGAGACGCCAATGAGAGAATCACTGATGGGCTGCCTCCTGCACTCCCCACTCTGGGGACTGAGCCCACAACCCAGGCATGTTCCCTGACCAGGAATTGAACGGTTCCTGGTTTATAGGTCGATCCTCAACCACTGAGCCATGCAGATCGGGCAAGCCCCTTACTTTTATTTTTTTTAATTTTTTTTAAGCACTTTCAATTTATTTATTTATTTTTTTAAAGAAAAGGTTTATAGCTTTTCCCCCTGCCCTCCTCTCACAATGCCCACTTCCTAAGAAGGGTTTAAATAATACAAAAACTTTCTTTTTTTTGGGGGGAATATCTATTTGGTGTTTGACACTTCAGTAGGTACTGTAAAGAAGGCCCTTACTTTTAGACAATCCCATGCAGCCAAGGGACAATCCCATTATGCCTAACATAATGCAGTGGGACTTGCCCCTCAGACCAAAGTCCACAACCATTTCCTCAGCAATTGTCTGCTTTCAGGTTGTTGGCATAAGACGGAAGATGACGAGACCCCTTCTGAGCAGGATGTTTCTGTAGAAGGAGAGTCTCAGGTGAGGGAGTCTGAGACGGCTCCAGCAGCCCAGAGGACGGACCCCTGTGAGCGCTGTGTCCCGGCCTTGAAAGCTATTCTGCACCTGACCGAGTGCCAAGCAGCAAACCTTGAGCAGAGAGCCTTCTGCAGTGAAGCACGTGTGAGAGGCCTCTGTTTCCCTGCAAACCCTCACCGGCAGCAGCGGACAGCCGGTGCCGCGGAGCCCCGGGAAGAGGCCGCGGACGGGGCCTCGCGCGTGACCCGGTGCAGCTTCTGCGTATCCGGGGCGCCTTCCGCCTGTGGGAAGGTTGGGGAGGGCCTCCCAGGCACCGCAGGCCTTCATCAGCACCAGGCCCCTTGTGATACTGAGGATTCACACGTTGGTAGCGAGAGCGGCCTGGCCTTTCCCAGTGGAGAAAGTCGTCTCCGTTCAGGTGGATGTGCAAACGCTGCCAGCCCACACCGGAACCTTGGTCAGCGTCAAGGCGAGTCTTCTAGAAAAGGGCTTTTCGAGGGCAGCGCGTGTCAGAAAGCCTTCAGACACATCTCGAACCTTCTTCAGCACAGAAGCGTTCACACCGAAGAAAAGTCTCAGGAGTGTAGGGGTTATGAGAAGTCCTTCGGCCACAACCCTGACCTCCCTGCACACCGGGCAGATCACACCGAAGAAGAACCATATGCGTGCAGTACTTGTGGGAAACGCTTTAGACAGCGCACGAACCTTACTCACCACCAAAGACTTCACTCTGGAAAAAACGCCTTTGAGTGTGGTGAGTGTAGGAAATCTTTCCGCTTCAAATGTTACCTCCTCATACACCAGAGAATTCACACCGGAGAAAAGCCTTACGAGTGTAGTGATTGTGGGAAGTCCTTTGGCCAAAGCTCTGCCCTCTTCAAGCACCAGAAAATTCACACTGGTGAAAAGCCATACGAGTGTAGTGATTGTGGGAGATGCTTTACCTACAAATGTATCCTCGTTAACCACCAGAAAATTCACACTGGAGAAAAGCCATATGAGTGCAGTACGTGTAGAAAATCGTTCAGACGGCGCTCCCACCTTATTCAGCACCTCCGCGTCCATTCCGAAGCAAAGCCGTATGGATGGGGTGAACCTGGGAAATCCTTTAGCAATGCCTCCAGCTTCCTTCAACACAGTAGAAAAATACCTTATGGGTGTAGTGAATGTGGGAAATATTTTAGCTGCAAATCTGATCTTCTTAGACACCAGAGAGTTCACACCGGAGAAAAGCCATATGAGTGTAGTGATTGTGGGAAGTCCTTTAGAGAAAGCTCTGCCCTTATTAAACACCAGAGAGTTCATACCGGGGAAAAGCCATATGAGTGTAGTCACTGTGGGAACTCTTTCAGCCAAAGCTCTAACCTCGTCAAACACCAGAGAGTTCACACCGGAGAAAAACCTTACGAGTGTCCTGACTGTGGGAAGTCCTTCCCCCAGCGCTCTGCCCTCACTCAACACCAGAGAGTGCACACTGGAGAAAAGCCGTATGAGTGCAGTGATTGTGGGAGATGCTTTAGCAACAAATGTATCCTCATTAACCACCAGAGAATTCACACTGGAGAAAAGCCGTACGAGTGTAGTGCGTGTAGAAAATCGTTTAGACAGCACTCCCACCTTATTCAGCACCTCCGCGTCCATTCTGAAGGGAAGGCTTGTGAGTGTGGCAAGTGTGGCAAACCTTTTAGCAGTACCTCCAGCTTCCTTCAACACCTGCGTGTGCACGCTACAGAAAGGCCTTATCAGTGTAGTGAATGTGGGAAATCTTTTAGCTACAAATGTCACCTCATTAGACATCTGAGAGTTCACACTAGGTAAAAGCAGCCTTGAGTGTCAATACTGAGAAGTCCTTCATCCGAAGCACCAGAGCATACACACTGCAGAACGGTGTTTGTGGGAAAGGTTTTAGGTAGAAATCTGACCTCGCTCTTCACCAGAGCATTCGTACCAGGGGAAAAGCCATATGAAAGTGGTAAAATGTGGGAAGTTCTTTATAGAGAACACCCCTGCCTTGTTTGACACCACTGAGCACATTTGGCAGAAAATGCTGTGAGTGTGGCAAATGCAGAAAATGTTTTAACTAGAGGTACCAAGGAGTTCACCCTGGAGAAAAGACCTTATGAGTGCAGTATATGTGGGAGATATTTTTGCTGCAAATCCCACCTCTTTAAACACACTAGACGGTTCAGAGGGGAGAAAATCCTTGAATGTGCTGAGGATGTTTTATTTCCTCACTCAGTGGAGCAATGCTGGAGGAAACTGAGAACTCTTCATCTGAATTTAAACATTTTTTAGTGGAACATACACTGTGCTGGATTTCTTTTTCTTTCCTTTTTTAATATGTTTTATTGATTTTTTTTTTTTACAGAGAGGAAGATAGAGTGATATAGTTAGAAGCATTGATGAAAGAGAAACATCGATCAGCTGCCTCTTGCACACCCCCCCCACTGGGGATGTGCCTGCAACCAAGGTACATGCCCTTGACCGGAATCAAACCTGGGACCCTTCAGTCCACAGGCTCTATCCACTGAGCCAAACTGGTTAGGGCTGTCCTGAATTTTTTAAAAGTTTCAGATACAAGTGGATCTTTTTTAAAAAAAATGTTTTTATTGATTTTAGAGAGAGGAACATTGATGAGAGAAACATCAACATTGATCAGCTCCCTCCTGCACACACAACCTCCCCCCTCCCCCTTTCTGGGGATCCAGTCAGCCACCTGGGCATTTGCTCTGACCTCCTGGTGCACAGGGCAATGCTTAACCAACTGAGACCCTGGCCGGGCAGTAGTTGGCCTTTCATGAGCTGCATTGCACTTTCTAAGCTGCCCAGGGCTAATGCCGGATTGATGTCAATTTTTGTGGCTAACGATTTCAAAGAGGAAAGGGGAAGGAGATAGAAACATCCGTGATGAGAGAGCCTTGGATCGGATGCCTCTTGCACACACCCAGTAGGGGATCAAGCCTGTAACTGGGGCATGTGCCCTTATCGGGATTGAACCTGGGACCCTTCAGTCCACAGGCCGGCACTCTGTCCACTGAGCAACCCCGGCCAGGGCCCTCTGTTACTTCTGCTTGACAGCATCCTCATTCCTTCCACTCTGACGCAGGCGTCTTCAAACTACGGCCCGCGGGCCACATGCAGCCCGCAGAGGAGTCTGATCCGGCCCGCCAGGGTTTTTGGGCAGTGAGTGCAGCCGAGGTGTTACAGTAGGAATTAGTAGTTCATATAGTCCGGCCCTCCAGCTCTCTGAGGGACCGTGATCTGGCCCCACTTTAAAAAGTTTGAGGACGCCTGGTAGAGAATGAACTCAAACCAGCTGACAAGCGTTACTTGTTTGGCTTGTATTAGATGGTGCTTGTATAAGTCTATTGACCTAGGTGTACCACTCACCTCTGTGCTCACTGAAAGATGGCGAATTAAAGTGTTAATGATTCATATAGCTGTTTCAATATTTCTTGTGTAATTTAAAATCTCGAGTTATAAAGTCCCTGAATAATCTAAATGACTATAAGACAGACATGTGTAAACACTATGCTTCCCGCTCCTTTGACTTCTTTTTTTTAATATATTTTATTGATTTTGTACAGAGAGGGAGGGAGAGAGATAGTTAGAAACATCGATGAGAGAGAGTCATCGATGAGCTGCCTCTGGCACACCCCCTACTGGGGATATGCCCACAACCAAGGTACATGCCCTTGACCGGAATTGAACCCGGGACCCTTCAGTCCCCAAGCCGACGCTCTATCCATTGAGCCAAACCGGTCTCGGCTCCTTTGACTTCTAATGAGACCCTTCTACGTTTGTCAGATAAACAGAACATTGGCCTTTCATAGTTGCAACTTTAGTAGTTCATGAATTCCTCTTTTTTTAGTCTTTTTAATAAAATTATTAACCTACCAAGAAGCCAAAACCCCCAAATCAAAAGTTTTAATCTTCCTTTTATAATGTGTATCAAAACACAGTATATCTATACTAATAAAAGGGTAATAGGCTAATTGCACCAGACATCCTTCAAGATAAAGCCACAGTGGCGGGGGGCCAAGGCAGAGGCAGTTAGGGGCAATCAGGCCGGCAGGGGAGGGCAATTAGGGGTGATCAGGCTGGCAGCGGAGCAGTTAGGGGGCAATTAGGCGGGCAGGGGAGTAGTTAGGGGCACCAGGCCGGCAGACAGGTTAGCAGTTAAGGGCAATCAGGCAAGACTAGCAGGAGCCAACGGGCCCAGATTGCAAGAAGGATGTCCAACTGCCGATTTAGGCCTGATCATAGGACTGGCAGTTGGACATCCCCCGAGGGGACCCAGATTGGAGAGAGTGCAGGCTGGGCTGAGGGACCAGCCCCACCTCCTCCCCGCACAAATTTTATGCATTGTGCTTCTAGTATATTATAAATACCTTACAGGTTTGTCAATTATATCTCAATAAAGGTGAAAAAAAGATTAAAATTATACCACACAAAGTCATAATCTCACAAAGCATTGAGAAAGGCAACGGAGGAAATTTTTTTTTTTTTATTTATCACAAAAAATAAAAATAATATACTTTTCCTTGAAGAGAATACACTTTGTGTTTGGAGAAGTGAGATGTTAGTTGTCAAGAGTTCCTCTTGTGGAATAGTAGGCCATCAGCAGTCATGTATGTGTTTTATTCATCCTCACATACACAGCCTTCCCCCTGTTTTTTCAGCGACATTCTAGAGCACATGTGTCAAACACAAGGCCCGCGGGCCAAATCGGTCCCGCCAGGCCTTGCAATGTGGCCCGCACCGCGCTGTCATCACTGCACTCCGCTGCGTTTCCATCACAATGACAGTTTATGACTGTTCAGTAAACCATTCGGCCCGCGATTTAGGCTGGATTTTAGATTTTGGCCCCTTCTCTGATTGAGTTCGACACCCCTATTCTAGAGAGAGCGGAAGGGAGGAAGAGAGAAACACCTTTGTGTGTGAGACACATCGATTGGTTGCTTTTGGCACACTACCTACCTTTATTTTATTTTAAAAATAGATATTTTAAATCCTCACCTGAGGATATTTTCCCGCTGACTTTTAGAGAGAGAGGAAGAGAGAGGGAAAGACAGAAAAGTATCCATGTGAGAGAAACACACAGATTTGTTGCCTCCTGCACACGCCCCGACCAGGCAAGAGCACAGCATAATCCTAGCCCCGTGGTCGGCAAACTCATTAGTCAATAGAGCCAGGTATCAACAGCACAACGATTGAAATTTCCTTGGAGAGCCAATTTTTTTAGACTTCTAACACCACTTCTTCAGAATACACTCGCCCAGGCCGTGATATTTTGTGGAAGAGACACACTCAAGGGACCAAAGAGCCGCATGTGGCCCCAGAGCCGCAGTTTGCCGACCACCACGGGGTATGATGGTTACAGTTTACAACACCTGCTGGGGGTTTGCAAAGGGCTGGTGCCTCTGATATCTGCAGTGAGGTTGTCAAACTTCCCATCACAACAGGCAGCTCCCGGATGGAGAGGACGGGCCACGTTTCCAGGTGAGCTCCCAGGTCCGCCTGCACCTCGCAGCCAGGTGAGAATGTGCCTTTTGATCAGGACAGCACAATCACGGCTAACGGAGTATAATTCACATTGCTTATCCTATTAGCTGGGCCCCCACATTTTATTTCCGCTCCTGATTGACCATACACAACCCACGTAAGCTGCTGACCCCTAGCACCTGTATGGGCCGAAGATAACACATCCCAGGAGGAGTGGGTGCATGCTGTGGCCGGGTCAGAATCTGCGGCCATTTGGGTCTGAGACCGTAGAGAATAAGTCCTAGTGTTCGCCTCAGGACCGGTCTGAGCTTCACGGAGTCTGGAATAATGTCTCCAAACTAACTCGTGGCCTGTTGCAGACGAAACTCTCCAGAAATGGGGGAACCGCCACCGGAAACTGAAGTCTCCCTGAGCCCAAACACCTTTGAAAAGAACCCACATATTTTATGGATTTTTTTACAGAGAGGAAGGGAGAGGGACATCCATCAGCTGTCTCCTGCACACCCCCCACTGGGGATGTGCCCTCAACCAAGGAACATGCCCTTGACCGGAATCAAACCCGGGACCCTTCAGTCCAAAGCAGTGGGTTAGGACCAAACACCTTTTTTTAAAACAAACAAACAAAAAACATAGTTCATCCTTTTTTATTTTTTTATTTTTTTAAATTTTTATATTTTATTGACTTTTTACAGAGAGGAAGGAAGAGGGATAGAAAGTTAGAAACATCGATCAGCTGCCTCTTGCACACCCACTACTGGGGATGTGCCCGCAACCCAGATACATGCCCTTGACCGAAATCGAACCCGGACTCTTGAGTTGGGTCCGCAGGCTGACGCTCTATCCATTGAGGAAACACCTTCTTAATAGTCCAGGACTGTGGCTCTACCGCCTCCTAGGCGGCTGAGGGAACTACAATGCCCAGAATGCAACGCGCCCAGCGGAAGCAGCGCTGAGCCGATGAGCGGCTTGAACAGGGGCGTCTTCGGGCATGCACACGGGGCGAGGGCGGGACTTCCGGCGGCCTCCTCCGGGCGGTTGTTTTGATCTCTCCGGTCTGTCCGTGGGTCAGTGTCCGTGGGGCGCGGAGGGAGGGGGGTCCCCGCTGTGCGGGGCGGGTCCGAGGCGGGAGGTGACGGGGGCGGGAGGGGCGTCGCTGTCCCGGGCGGAGCCTCGGGGCTCCGCGGAGTCCGCTCGCCCGCGGAGTCCGACGGCGGCTCTTCGCTGAGGCGGCCGGCTGAGGTGAGTGCCGCCCGCGGGGCGCGCCGTCCCCTCCCGCGGCCCGGGCCCCGGGTGCGGGGCGCTGAGGCACTCCTGGGGGACCCCCCCCGGGCCGCCCGCCGGGACCCCCCCCCGGGACCCCCCCGGGCCGCCCGCCGGGACACCCCCCCCCCGGAACCCCCCGGGCCGCCTGCCGGGACCCACCCCCCCGGGATCCCCCCGGGCCGCCCGCCGGGACCCCCCCCCCCCGGGACCCCACCGGGCCGCCCGCCGCGACCCCCCCCCCCCCGGGATCCCCCCGGGCCGCCCGCCAGAACCCCCCCCACCCCCCAGGGCCGCCCGCCGGGACGGGGCGGCAGAGGGCGGCTGGCGGGGGGTCCGCGGAGCCGGGGGTGGGGTGGGGGTGGGGTGGGGGGGGTGGGGGGGGTGGGGGTGGGGGGGGTGGGGGTGGGGGTGGGGTGGGGTGGGGTGGGGGTGGGGGGGAGGGTTCTGGAATCGGAGGCGGCGGAGCTCGGGGACAGAGGCCACGGGGATAGCACGGATGTGCGGCCACACAGAAAGCCGCCAGCGAGTACATCCGTGGGTGGCCACGAATCCATACCTCTCTCCTCCCTCTCCCTGTTCCCTTCTCAAAAAGCATCCAAGAAGCCCTGGCCGGTGTGGCTCAGTAGTTAGAGCGTCAGGGCCTCCAGACCCGAAGGCCACAGGTTCCCCAGTCCCAGGTGGGGGCCGCCTGTGGGAGGCCACCAACCGACGTGTCTCTCTCTGTCCCTGGATGTTTTTCTCTCTCTGTACCTCCCCTCCCCTCCCCATTCACTCTCACTCCCTGCAAATATCAATGGAGAAGATATCCTCCGCTGAGGGTTTTTTTGTTTTGTTTTGTTTTTAAGCATCAGGCTAGGTGAGGGGAAGTTCTTTGTGGTGTTTTACTTTTATTCTGAGGACGCTGGGGCCGTGGGAATGTTGGAGGGATGTGAGCAGAAGAGGGACATCGTGTGAGGCAGGGCCCTAAAGATGTCCCAAACCTGCCCAGAGGGAGAAGGGGCTACAAGAAAGGACAGCACTGAGGGGCCGGAAGGAGGAGTCCTGTAGGGTCGGCAGACTCCTTAGTCCACAGAGCCAAATATCAACAGCACAACGGTTGAGATGTCTTCGGAGAGCCAAACTTTTTAACTTAAACTTCTTCTAACGCCACTTCTTCAGCATAGACTCGCCCAGGCCGTGGTGTTTTGTGGAAGAGCCGCACTCAAGGGGCCAGAGAGCCGCTTGTGGCTCACAAGCCCCAGTTTGCCGACCAGGGCTGTAGGCGATAAGGTAACTGGTAGGTAGGTCCCCCGGCCTGGAGGCTGGGCCAGGCCCCGAGCAGCCTGAGCCCCGGGTCCTGTCGGGGGAGCCGGGCCCTCAGCGCCTTCAGCTCCCACAGGCCCTGCGGTCAGAGCCTCTCAGGGGGCCGGGCTGTGGTGCTGATGTCTGTGGGGCCTCAGACTTTTTGGGTTTGTTGGAGATAGGGGTGCCCTGGGGCTGTCCAGCCCCTCCTCCTGCCCTAGGCCCCGGGGACCTTGGACAGGCACCAAGCAAAGGATCTGAAGGCCAGGCCTAAGGTGGCACGCAGTGGTTCCAGTTTGTGGCAACGTGAGGGTGAGAGCTGGGCCGTCCGTCCTCAGGCACAGCGCCCAGAGTGGCCTGGAGGGGAGGCATTCTTTCCTGCCACGGCGCCAGAGTGGCCTGGAGGGAGGCGTCCCAGAATGCAGCGGCCTGGAGGGGAGGCCGAGCTGGTCCAGGCACCCGCCGGTGTCCTTTCCTTCCCATGGGAACCGGGACAGGGGACCGGAGTCAGGTCCTGAGCAGCTCTGTGACAGTCGGGTGTCTGTCTGCAGGTGACGGGCCATGGGAGACTGGCAGCCGTGGAGGTGGGAAAGAGTTGGATTCTGGATCTGTGTTTTAGGTGTGGCCACCTGCATTTTCTTTTTCTTTCTTTTTTTAAATATATTTTATTGATTTTTTTACAGAGAGGAAGAGAGAGGGATAGAGAGTTAGAAATATTGATGAGAGAGAAACATTGATTAGCTGCCTCTTGCACACCCCCCACTGGGGATGTGCCAACAACCTAGGTACATGCCCCTGACCGGAATTGAACCCGGGACCCTTCAGTCCTCAGGCTGACGCTCTTTCCACTGAGCCAAACTGGTTTCGGCCTTTTTTTTTTTTTTTAATTTAATTTTTATTGATTGATTTAGAGAGAGAGAGAGAGAGAAATATTAATCTGTTCCACTTATTTACCATTCATTGGATGATTCTTGTATGTGCCCTGACCTGGGATTGGACTAAAACCTTGGCATATCAGGATGATGCTCTAACCAACGGAGCTGCCTGGCCAGGGACTCCTCCCCCCCTATATAGTATATATTTTTAAAAAAATATATTTTTATTGATTTCAGAGAGGAAGGAAGAGGGAGAGAGAAATAGAAACATCAGTGATGAGAATCATTGATTGGCTGACACCTGCACACCCCCTACCAGGGGTCGAGCCTGCAACCCAGGCATGTGCCCTTGATCGGAATCGAACCCGGGACCCTTCAGTCTACAAGTTGATGCTCTATCCACTGAGCCAAACCAGCTAGGGCTACATTTTCTTCTTTCTTTTAAAAAAATATATATATTTTATTGATTTTTTACAGAGAGGAAAGGAGAGGGATAAGAGAGTTAGAAACATCGATTCAATTGCTTCTTGCACACTCCCTACTGGCGATGTGCCCGTAACCAAGGCACTTGGGACCCTTCAGTCCGCAGGCCGATGCTCTATCCACTGAGCCACACTGGTCAGGGTTACATTTTCTTCTTTCAACTTTGACAGAGAGAGGTAGGAATCAAGGATGCCTTGAAAATTAGGTTTTATGCTGAAACTGGTTTGCCTCAGTGGATAGAGCATTGATCTGCGGACTGAAAGGTCCCAGGTTTGATTCTGGTCAGGGGCATGTACATTGGTTGTGGGCACATCCCTGGTGGGGGGTGTGCAGGAGGCAGCTGATCGATGTTTCTCTCTCATCGATGTTTCTAGCTCTCCTTTCCTCTCTGTGAAAAAATCAATAAAATATATATTTTTTTCTTTTTTTTTTCTTTTTTAAAAAAATATATACTTGATTGATTTTTTTACAGAGAGGAAGGGAGAGAGATAGAGAGTTAGAAACATCGATGAGAGAGAGTCATTGATCAGCTGCCTCCTGCACACCCCCGACTGGGGATGGCCCACAACCAAGGTACATGCCCTTGACCGGAATCGAACCCGGGACCCTTCAGTCCGCAGGCCGACGCTCTATCCACTGAGCCAAACCGGTTAGGGCTCAATAAAATATATTTAAAAAAAATAAAATCAATAGGAGTGTAGCACTAAGGTCAGGTATATTTTCTGATGTGGGCAGTAGAGGGAGCAGGTGCATGTGGAGGTGGGGGTTGGGGGTATGACAAACTTGGGATCCTAGGGGACAAGCTGACTGTGGAGCAAACTGTCTCTGTTGCCACAGGAGATGGACTTTGAGGACGTGGCCATCGCCTTCTCCCAGGAGGAGTGGGGGCTCCTCGATGAGGCTCAGAGACTCCTGTACTGCGAGGTGATGCTGGAAATCTTTGCACTTGTAGCATCTCTTGGTAAGACCTTCACCTTCTCCCAGTGTCCTGAAGTGATATGTCCTGCCCCCCCACACACACACACACCAGGTATCGCTGTCCTTCTTACAGCCAGACGGTGTGTTACTTTCCCCCACATTTTTGTCCTACAGGCGGCGGGTGCCAGTGCGGAGCTGTATGGAAAGCCCTGAGCAAGGCGCACTGGGGCATCCCTCACAACAGTCGCCTTAGAAAGGACAGGAAATGCTGGGACTCAGGGTCTTGCAGACAGCTTAGTGGGTCCCACTTGTTTGCCCTCACCTTTGCAGGGTGACTCTGTCTGATTCATGTCCTCTAACTCTGCCCCTTTCCTCTGGCTGATTGTTCTTTGTGAGCGCCTGTGCCAGCTCATGGTTTTTTATTCCATAAACCATGGGCTGTTCTGTTTTGTTTTGTTTTCTTAAATATATATATATATTCTCTATTTTGTTTAGTGTGTATAAACACACACACACACACACACACATTTTAGAGAGGAAGGGAGAGGGAGAGGGAGAGGGAGAGGGAGAGGGAGAGAGAGAGAGAGAGAGAGAGAGAGAAACATCCATGATGAGAGAATCATTGATTGGCTGCATCCTGCACCCCCTACTGTAACCTGGCATGTGCCCTGACTGGATATCGAACCGTGACCTCCTGGTTCATAGATAGATAGATGCTCAACCACTGAGCACTGCCGGCTGGGCAGGGCTGTTCTTTTTTAAAAAAAACATTTTTTATTGATTTCAGAGAGAAAACATTACTGATGAGAAAAAATCATGGTTGCTGCCCTAACTGGTTTGGGTCCCAGGTTCGATTCTGGTCAAGGGCATGTACCTTGGTGGCGGGCACATTTCCCGTTGGGGGTGTACAGGAGGCAGCTGATCAATATTTCTCTCTCATCGATTTTTTTTTCTTTTTTTAAAAATATATTTTATTGATTTTTCACAGAGAGGAAGGGAGAGAGATAGAGAGCTAGAAACGTCGATGAGAGAGAAACATCGACCAGCTGCCTCCTGCACACCCCCCCACTGGGGATGTGCCCACAACCAACGCACATGCCCTTGACCGGAATCGAACCTGGGACCTTTCAGTCCGCAGACCGACGCTCTACCGCTGAGCCAAACCGGTTTCGGCTCTCATCGATGTTTCTAACTCTCTATCCCTCTCCCTTCCTCTCTGTAAAAAAATCAATAAAATATATAATTAAAAAAAAAATCACGGTTGTCTCCTCTATGTCCCCTACTAGGGTTTGAGCTCACAACCCAGGCATGTGCCCTGAGCGGGAAACGAACCTGGGACCCTTCAGTCTGGAAGCCAATGCTCTACCCATAGATAGAGGCCAACCAGCTAGGGCTGGGCCTTTCTTTTAATGCCCTCCTTCAGTTGTTGCTTGTAATATTTTGTTCCCTGAATACTGTTTTGTGCTGCTCACCACTGTGGTCTTCCATGTACAATACCAAGTTCAGAAAGAACCCTTGTTTTTCCCCCACACGGTAGTCATGGTAAGATGGTCTCAGAGGAGACCTCGCCCTGCGAATGGCAGCTGGGAGATGCCAGGACATAGAGACTGTGTTCAGATTCTATCAGGAACAGGTCGTGTGTCCAATCGCGTTTCTTGAATTTGTCACTAACCACACCCATTTCTACCTTCTCTTTCCCATACGTGACCCTTTGCTGATTTCTTGTTTTATCTGTGATTTCCTGGCCCCTAACTGCCTTCCCCTGTGTGGCCTTCTTACATCCCCTGTTCCTCTGCACTGCTCTCTCTGCAGCAGCGGTTGCCAACCTTTCGGACCACACCTCCAGTTGGCGACCGCTGCTCTACAGAACATTCCGGCATTGACCTGCACGTGTGTTATGAGGTGCACATGCATCCTTCAGCAGTGCTTGGACACGGGCTCCTCATTTTTTGAATTTTACTTTGAGAAAAACATAACCAACTCTCTGCACAGCTGGTCCATGTCACCGACACACAAGCCCGCTAAACGCTGCTAGCAGACGAATGACTGGGACTTCCTGCTCCTCTTCTGTGTGCTGCACGCCACCTCTGTGTCCTCTTCCTGGGGAGGTCTCCTCTGCTCTGTGACCTTCAGAGGCCAGCACTGCACACAGTTCATTGTTCAACCTGCCTCAGGGCTCTTATTTTACTTACTTAAAAAAAATATATATAAATATATATATTTCTAACTCTCCATCTCTCTACCTTCCTCTCTGTAAGAAAATTAATAAAATGTATTTTTAAAAAATTAAAATAAAATAAAAAAAATATATATATATATATATATAAAATTGATTTCAGAGAGGAAGGGAAAGGGAGAGAGATAGAAACATCAATGATGAGAGAGAATCATGGATCAGCTGCCTGTTGCACACCCCCTACTGGGGATCAGGTTTGCTACCTGGGCATGTGTCCTTGACCGGAATGGAACCCGGGACCCTTCAGTCTGCAGACCGATGCTCTATCCACTGAGCCAAATCACCAGGGCCAGGTCTCTTATTTTAGACAGTCCCATAAAAACCATTGTATTATGTCTCACAATCCTTTGTCATGGGACTCCGCCCTCCCGATAAAGTGAACATCTGTGTGCTCAGCATTTCTCTGCTTTCAGGTTGTTGGCATAAATTGGAAGCTGAAGAGGCCCCTTCAGAGCAGTGTGTGTCTGTAGAAGGCAAGTCACAGGTAAGAGCTTCCGAGATAGCTCCAGCAGCCCAGAGGACTGACCCCTGCGACCAGTGTGTCTCGGTGTTAAAAGATATTTTGCACCTGACTGAGTGCCAAGCAGTAAACC